TGATGAGGGCCTCCCAAGCTATCAGGCTTTTTTTGGAGTGTGACCTAAACAACCTCGTCTGAAGAACCGGTCAGGTGATGAACACATGTAACTGCACGCTTAGCGAACAATGCTAACTGTCAGTGATACAGACGTGTAATGCCCTGTAGTGGCACGCATACGCACACAACCTAATGCTGTCCTTTTAAAACAAAGTGTGAAGCCTCAAACAGTACTTTCATTCAGTGAAGACCAAACAAAATGTCCAAAAATGATAAAACTCTTAGTGGTCCTAACTAATAAAGATACAAGACGAAGACGTCACATACACACACTGAACACATTCTTTTCTTCTCAAATTTTTGGCCACAAGTTGACTCTTAAGTAAAATAATTTGATTTCACAAAATGTTTTCCCTCCAAAGAAGCAAACATTAAATATTTTCAAGGACAGAGCATGAACACACAAATATAGGACCAGCCCTCTTAGCAGTTATGTTCATATTGATTAAGTTTGCAGTTACATGATTTTTATTTAATAAGACTGGAAAATATGTAATGCATCACTTCATATAGTGCTTGAGAATTGGAGCATGGAAGTATGTCGGGAATGAGGATTTACAAATCCTGAACATGTATTGTCATTTAAAAAAGATTATTTAACCATGAAGATGATGTTTCCCTTCCCTTAACCACGTAGTTTTAATTAACCATGCTGTAATTTCCAAGAGAGGAAATTAAATAAATAAAACAAATACTGTGTTTGTATGTTGAAACTGGACGTTTGAATACATTGTCACTGAATGTGGCATTTTCCTGAAAGCGTTTCATATTGAAGTTCTGTTTTGCAAGTGGTTTGCATACAAGCTATTTTCAATATTCATCCAAAACAATGAAAAGCAGTAAATCCTTACGTTTGAGAAGCTGCAAATACTTTATGCTTCCTAAATGCTTTACAAGACTAATCCATCATCATATTAATGTTGATCACTTTTCTGTTGATCTTATCATTGATCGACAAATTTTTCCAGCCCTTCAGCAAACACATGCAAATCAAGAATGGTCCTGTTCATCTCTCTCTCGCTTTAGTCATGCTCTTTGAACCTCCGTACAAACCCTCTCTCACGCACTCCATAAACATCCCAGAGGACGGCCATCTCATTCAGACACGTAACCACCAAGGAAGTAACCACACAACATGCTGATTGTGTACATTTCGGCTCTAATGATGAACTGTCCCAGGAGGACAGAGGGAGGGGTCAGTGTGGCTAATGAATTGGTAGTAAAGGAGATGAATGGAGGTAGATGGCATTGAATGGAGGAAAGGGGGAAATGGAGGGGGGAAAAGAAAGGTGTCAACATGTGTTCATCTGAGAGAGTAAAGAAAAAAGAGGGAAAGATGGGAGCAAGGCAATGTTGAATAGAAGACGTGTAATGAGAAGAAATGGTTGAGAAGAGAGAAGTAGAAAGAATTGGATAATGAAAAAAAGAAGAAGCTACGATACAAGTGTGATTAACTAAAAATGTACAAAATCCAGAGGAAGAAGTGAGAGGATTAAACTTCAAAAAATAAATAAAATGGGAATCACAACAGGACAAAATTATAGTATCAAGTATAGAAACAAAATAATAAACATTCAGAAGTGTTGAGAGAGGAACAGAAATGTATTTCAAAAGAAGAAACAGAGGAGAGAAAACTGGCAAATAAAAACAAGAAAATGCAGAGAAAATGGGAGACAAGTTGTTGCCGTTGCAAACAGCCATAAAATCTTCATAATACGGCAACATGTATTACATTTTTCTGTATCCACAAAGAAATTGAGACACAGCAAATTGCAACATGAATGCAAAAATGACCCCTCCCAAAATTCTAATTCCTTCTGCTGTTTTCGGCAAGCATGAATTATGACTGAAGCTAAGATCAACAAAAAGTAACCCAAATATATAGAGAGAGAGATATAAGTATATGATATTTTTCAAATTTTGCATTTGATTTTTAAGGTTTGAAAAAATGACCCGACATTCAGAGCGGAACTTAACGATCGTGAAGAAAGAAAGGGAGCAGAGAAAGACAGACCGAGGGAGAGACAAGAAAAGGAGACACGAGGGAGGGGGGGAGAGACAAACAATTTTACGAGACAGAAAAAAAATTAAAGTTGAGATAAAGGGAGAGATGGAAGGGAAGAGAGTGAGACAGTCCAGTGGTTAAGTACAGCCAGCCCTAATAGATTCCCGCAGGCTCATCTTTGATAGTTGGAGCCCTCAGCGCCTTAACTCAGTCGAACCCGCAGTTTTTAAGAGTCTTTCAAGTCGACATGAAAGGCAGCTGTTAGCCTCTCTGTTGTTTTAAAGGCATTTTGTTTCACATTTTTACACTTGTCTCTCAAGTCCGTGCGTCTTTATTTGTTGTTCGGTTAACGTTCTTTAGTTCTGTCAATTCAAACCTGCTCATCATTTAATTCTTGAAGTTTATGTTTTTGTCATTTTCCTGTTTTTGTTTTATGTCAGCAGTATTGTTTTTATTCGTTTATTCATTTATTTTCCTTTTTTATTTTTCAGTCACTCTTTCTTTCTTCTGAGCTTCTTCCATTGACTTTCTTTTCTCTTTTTTGACGTCAAGTCTGTTGTGTTCTTTCTTCCTCCATCTTTTCTTTTATCCTTTCATCACATAACAGTCCTTTCTTTCTTCCTTTCCATTCCAACACTTTTCTTTTTCTGGTTTCATCTTTTTTTTACGTAGATAAGAGTTGTTGTGTGTTCGTCAACTTGATTTTAGTCATTGTTTTTTTGGCTCACTCTCTCTCTCTCTCTCTCTCTCCCTGTCTTTGTCAATGTCTCCCTTCCTCGTCTCTCAGGTCCAGGGTCACATGCCTCCTCTGATGATCCCAGTGTTTCCTCACGACCAGCGGTCTCTGGCTGCTGCCGCTGCTGCACAGCAGGGCTTCCTCTTCCCACCGAGCTTGTCCTACAAGCCAGGTATACGAACTAACTGCACTATTGCCCACACTGGAGAATGTTAAGGAAATATATGTCTTCTGGATAAACATTCACTCCCCTCACACAAGAGCTATACGACTTGGACATTTCTCGTTAACTAAAAAGAAAACAGCTAGTCACAGTATTTCTCTCCCTACGCACACACACACACACACACCCACACACACACACACACACACACACACAGAAACACAAACACTGGAATCCCAGTCTATGTTAATGAGGTGTGTCAGGTGAGGAATGTTCTGGAAATGAGCGGAGAGATTTACAAGCTCTGCTTGTTCGCGTCGGGAACAATACATTGGACACAGCGAGGACTGGAATGTCTCTTTTATGGCGTGCTGAAAGCGTGTCAGTTGCACAACACATCTGCAACATGGAATTTCACACTTTCTCACACTTACACACACACATACACACTCTCAAGTTTGTTCTCCTGGTACACACCGACCCAACGACGTACACGTAAGGAGATGCAGACAGACGAAACACACATAAAGGATTGCATGCATGTTGCATGTTTTCAGCAATCCACGAGGGTTTTTGCACAAACAGGTGGAATAGAACACTTGAAGACACACATATGCAGAAACGCACTTCAAGTACAGTCTTCTTATTGTAGGATTCACAGCACCACCTGCTTTTTTCCTCTTTCCTCATCCTTCACACATTCCTCCCTTCCATGCATTCTTCCAGGTGCTCGCCTGATGCCACGCACCACCGACCCGCCATGCTTTGTACGGAATAATACATGTTTATTACTCTTGCGCGAGCATACACTCCCACAAGGCCGCAAAGAGAGGCAGGAATGAAGAAAGGGATTAAAAAAGCCATTATTCTACACTCTCCTTTGACTTCGGTCTGTTTTCAACAAAGGCTCGGACATGGAAAGCCTTTTAGGGACAAACAGTGGGGGTTATAAACGGTACTCGTATATGCATTTATGAGTGCATCCTAATGAGGCAGCACTGGACTAGAACTCGGATCGCCCGAGTCCCAAGCACCCGTGTGTACCGACAATGACCGTTATTAACCTTTGAATGAAACACTCGTGACCCTTTGTGTTTCATTTGCGATGAATAAAAACATGAGAGCAAGAAAGGAATAGGGCGAGTCTTACACAGGCTGACTGAAGGCAAAGAGCAGGTTAGTTCTTCTGCGGTAATCTGCCTCCCCGACTTCTCTCCACAATGTTTTGTTTTGGTTTTTCAACAGGTGAGAATTACCCCATGCAGTTCATTCCATCTACAATGGCAGCTGCAGCGGCGTCTGGACTCAGCCCATTACAACTGCAGGTAAGTTGGAAACAGCTGGTCTCCTGAAAATCAAAAAACTTTACACGGTGGAAATTATGTGTTCTTTTTAGTTTTTTGGCAAAACATTTTCACATTTCACCTTGACTAAAACCGTAAATTGGCTTTGATCTTATACCTAAAGCAAATTCATTTTGACTTGCTTGAAGGAAATGTGTTGCACTTATTGTCATCCTTTCGTAGTGTTATAGTATAAAAAAACGGTTATATCATCTTGGAGTTGGCGACGGTGTCAGAGTAAAGCCCAGCAAAGTAAACTTAAGAAGTGCCTCTTCAATATCTATGATGATAAGTCAAGTGAGTGTTTCACAACCAGATAAACAACTGCAGCAGAAAGTTTGAGAGCAGCAGCAGAAACAAAGACACAGCTATAAGGGTGAGGGTTTGTACACTGAGAAAGTACATATATAGCTAATCCTGAGGGTGTAACCAGCCGACCAGAACTCAAGACAATTGTGCATAAGTGAGTAGATAAATAGAAAAGACAGTAAAGATAAGGAACATTGGCAAACTAAATGAAACTCCCACTTCTTCTAACCTCGGCCTGAGTTCAAGTGTATAAAAAATCCAGCAACATTTTCATAGAATAAAACCACTCTAAACCACAACAACTTTAATGCTCCATATTCATTGCAACTCAACTACACAATTAATCTATACCTTGTGCAGGAAACCTTTTATAATTTTTGTATGAGACCTAGAGGTCAAGGCTATTATCACACCTGCTGGGTGTCTGGTAGATTTAACGTGGGAAAAAAACATCAGCGACACAAAAATAAAGAACTAAAAGTGCACTAAGTGCAGACCTCTGCTAGGTGTGTCTGCAAAGACCACTGCTGTAATGTTTGATTGAATGAATACAAACCACAATTGCCCCCCTTCAAGACCGCAAGTGTATCAGATGTGTTTTTCACTCGCACGTCTCATACAAGAGAAGCTGTAATTTTAATTAATGCAACCAGCTCAGTGCAGTTGAACAAACAGCACAGGACTGACTCCTGCTTTATGTATCGTTCCGTTAGCTGTTAGCTCCGTTAGCCAAACACACCGCAAGACTCTGCAGCCCACCAGCTGCTAACAGCTAACTAGCTCTCCTCCTGTCGACATGAGTAGTAGTAGGGGTGCATTTCAGTTCGTCATTCGTTAAGTGCTTCATTTAAATCTCAACAATCACTGACTCTGTTTTGGTTCAAATAAACCCTTAATTCACAAGGCTTTCCCCCAGCTGTCTGTCTCTCTCTCTCTCTCTCTGTCCGCTGAGCAGCAGCTGGGCGGCTTTTGTTCTTTCGGGGGCAGACCATTAAATTGGCAAAATAAAATGACAAAAAACGGCCAAAATATATTTCTCCGTGAAAAAAAGACCCGGTGATACTGCCAAATGTCTGCTAACAGCTAACAGCTAACTAGCTGTCCTCCTGACGACATGAGAAGACACGCTCCGTTGTACTCAGTTTGTCATTGCTAAGCAATAGTCAACATATTACTTGTACAGCCAACCAATAGTCTCAGCTGCTCCATGTTGCTGTATATGTTCATAGCTACCCCCAAAAAACATCTATAGGGCAAGATGATGATAACAAATTCAAATGCATTAATCACCGCGGATCACAGTTAACTTTTAAGGAAGCTCTATAGGGCGACGCTAACATGCTAGCTCACTTATCTGCTGCCTGTCAGCTGTGACAGACAAAAGCTGTTATGATGAATCACAGAGGAATTCCGCCCCACCAGCACAACACCTGGCCCAAGCAATTCATCAAATATTTTATTGCTGCTTGACACCTGTGGTTTGAGAATAGCACTTCTCCATAATGATAATCATAGAACATATTTGCAAAGAGCAAAATCAGTGAAACAAAAAAAAAAGAAAAGAGAAATTAAATCGCTAAGGCGGTTTGGAATTACACAACGCGACCCCGTCACCCCTGCTTCTGTATCTGCTATCAGTGAAATGAACAAAAGCCCTCAAAAGCTTTTTCACTGGCAAACAACATTGATTCATCATGTCAGTCATTACCATAGCATGGCTTTATAAGCCACCAGAATCCTTATCTCAATTTATTCATTTTGTATTGTGGTTTTCGCTTATCGAGGCCTTCATTAGCCGCTATTGACATAGCGAAGCGGCGTGCTGTGCCAATGGGAATCGGAGCCGCAGCCTATTTCCACTCCTGGCTTTGAAATGATCAAAAGAGTCTCTTACCTCTCACACGAGTGAGAGGTAAGAGGATGAATGATGTCGGAGATGCAAACTCATTCACATTTAAACACTGCCTCAGACGTGGAGAATGAGAGGCGGAGGGGGAACCTGAATGAAAGAGGAAGCCTCTCATCACGGCGGTGGCTGAAATCAAGTCAGAGACCGGGAGAAGGAGGAACACAGGGAAGCGTGGGGAAGTGTTCGTGATAGGAAAAAAAAGAAGTGTGATTATCTGAGGAATTCTTGTGAGACGGAGTCGCTGGCTTCCAGCACATGTTTGGACATTGTTTTGACAACAATGCCTAAGCCAAACGCAATCATGATGACATTTACGAGTTGTACTTGTTCAGTTATGTATCTTCATCTCAAGAAATGTGGCAGTATAGCACTCTTTGTACTGTGATACAGTTAGATGCTTCCAGTGCATAGGATCTAGATTTGGATGGATACAATAAAAACACCTGCATGGTGTGTTGCCATCCAATCCAACAGCCTTGCAATTAATGCTTACTTTGTGAATTTTCTACAGTTCAGCAGCTTGAAGTGAATCAACACCTTAACACCTCTAAATCTGTATAGACTCGTATCGTTGTATCATGTAGGTTGCATCTTTTTGGAGTGTCTTTGCTTTGTGTGAACGGCTTCTTTGTGTGTCGGAGAGCTCGACAACTACAGGGTTTCCTACAGGAAGCTTGTTAGTAATTGAGCCATTAGCCTTTACTTTTCCCAGCTGAAAAAAAGAAACCTTTCTGTTTCTTAACATTGTAGGACATTGGATTGATTAATTACCATAACCAGAATATATGATGATCCATTGATGACAGATCCCAATACATCTCATCTCAAAGTAGTTACTTTATAGTAACAGATGGCCTTTGCTGTTAGTCCGCATCTGCTACAAAATTCTGCAGGAAACCCTGAACCAACGGGGTTCTGAGTTTTGGTGTAAATCTGAGATTTACCCCTAAAACTGCGGAGTAGAACAGAAACATCCCGCACTATCTTCAGCCCTTTGGCCTTCATGCAGCCATCGTGGTTATGCTGTAGTGCCACAGCGTCTTTCTCTCTTTCGCAGCTCCGGCTCTGCTTTCTCTATGGGCTCTGCCTTTTACGGAGGTGAGGGACGACAGCATCAAAAAATCTCACAATTATTGTGAGTGGATGTTTTTTTTACCCAGAGCCTTATACTTACTTTCGCTAACTTCCTCTTGTTTTTACTCATTACCTCTCCATCACACATTAGAACTGCCTCTGGCCTTTCCCCTTTGGCTCTGTGCTGTTTGTAGCTTGTCATGTTGGTGATGTGTGAACCGAGGCCTGTTATGCTGTAGCACTCATTAAAAGACTTGCACTTACAGCATACAGTATAACATGGAATGTGCGTCATAGGCTGAGGTATGGTGTCATTTATGTAGTTGCATGGATTAACGACTCATTAATCATCATTTGTAATCTATAGATTGTCTTTTTCCCTCCGTTGCTTGTTCAGCAAACTCCTGCGCCTTTTGTTGAGTCATGCAGTTGGGATTTGAACAAGGCACTACTGCAAAGGCGTTGTCAATGTCTTGACATGGCTGTCCAGTGTGCACACTGAGATCTTTTCTGTTTTGAAGTGTTTTTTTAGTTGTTAGTCTCAGTAACGCCACACTTCACAAATCTCCAGTGTGTGAAACTGTGCATTAGCCTGTAAAGAAAACACTGTAAAAACACAATTACACCAAGTTAGTTCTACGTTCGCAATCTCCTCTGCTCCATACGGCAGTCAAGTACACACCGGCTGGCATCGAAACCCTTTCGATGCCAGATCTGTGCTCAGCACAGGATGGACAGATGTTGCAGGCAGACTGTTCCAGATGTTCTGTAGTTCTGCCCCGTAGCAAGCCTTCAGACAGCTGGCTGGCACTGATGGTCAAGCGGGCATAGACTGGCATACAGAACGAGTGAAAATAAGCTTGCACAAGCTACAAGGGGAAAGTAAAGGTTCAGAAAAGTAACAGCACTAATAATTCCCTTTGTCTTATGCCTCTAGCAAATATTTGACAAAAGCTGTCCTGTTGTGCTTGACTCATCATGACCTGACCTAAAGATTTTGATAGCGCAATGTCATGCTATCGGCGTGGGAACTTGATGGGGCCAATTGATTTCAGGGCCTCGGAGCAGACCCTTTCACAAACAGTGGATTCCTGCCGAAGAAAGGCCCCCTTTGTCGCGGCTAATGCGAGTGGAATACAGTTGCTTAGCAGACATTCTTGTTGAAATCATAAGACATCTCTCGCTGTCTGCCTCTATGTTCTGCCTATTTCTGTGTCTGAGGCATGGAGACGACAGTGAGGAGCAAACTCTTGTGCCCCAGAGTCATGATTACTGCCCCGTTGCCAACACACACTGATTATGCCAGAATGGCTTTCTTTGTCTTAAAAATGAGGAAAATGACTGGAAGGATTTGGTTTGGATATGGTTTGTCTCTTAAGCTAAGCATCTGTTCAGTTAAAGAGAACTGGAAGTGAGATAATGGTTGTCTTTATGCGGCCTGCCTCTGCGTGTATCTCTTTCACTGTTTTGGACGCGGCTAACTCTCCAAGTGCAATATTTAGCCTCCGCCCAGCTCAGTGGGAGTCGATCCATTTCGCCCTCCTCCTTCTCCCCCATGCAAACCTGCTGAAAAAGACAAAAACCTCATCTGTTGTGTGCACTCCTGAGATTGATGGCAGCTCGAACGCTAAAAAGAGGCCAGCGAAAGGGATTCTCCACTCAGTCCTATACGGAGGAGTCTGTCGGCAGGCTACAAAACAACAGTCCGGACAGTGCTGCCCACACCCAGACCTCAACAACGTCACCTTCTGCCTGCTTTTCTTCCAGGATTATGCCAAAGTAGGCTAAAAACCTGCTGATGATCAGGAGGGCCAAAAATGACAGACTAATCATTTGGATTTTAGTCAAATTAGCACTAACGTCTAAAGGCCAGTCAGATAGTCTGGACAGCTCCGGCGAGGTTCGGGCCCTCTTTGTCAATTTGTAATTTAGGAAATTGCAGCATTGTCTTCCCTTGGGGGCTGAGTGAATGGCAAGAGCTCTGGTTGGGGTTGTTTACGCAGCACATTGGCCTCCACGGTCACTAATCAATCTCAGAGTGTCTCTAAGAAACAAGAAAAAAAACAAGGTACAGGCTCTTATTCTGCGTCTTTTGTTTGTTCAACGATTCCCTCATTGTATTTGGAATCGCTGACGGAATTGCTGCTAACAGCACAATACCAGTACTCTCTCTGTGTGTGTGTGTGTGTTTGTGTGTGTGTGTATGTGGGTGTTTGTGAGATCCTAACTGTGTGCTTCACCTCAAAGACTCGTGTGTCTGCTCCCCTTAGAGCTGTAAGAATATCAGGCATCACCAGAAGTAACTCTGCGGTCGGGCTTGATTGACACGAGAGGCCTCACCACCAGCCATTCGAGGCACATTCTTACGGGGATCTCATATCGCCAGGGGTTGGCCCGAGCACTCCCGGTGCCTTCCAAGGAAAATAAGCGGCGTGACATCAGGGCTTTGTTTCAACGGCGAGGCCCCTTCTGTTTGTGTTTAATATCGCTCTGAGAGAAGTGGAAAGAGGGCCAGCCAATTTTTTTTCGGGCCTCAACCACTGAGCCTGGCGCTTCGGCGGTGAAGCGACGGTGGTCTCGTGTGTCTGCAGCGCAACACTCTCTTCTCTTTCCCTCACTCTCTCTCTTTCATTCTCTATTGAGCACTCTTTGCTTTTGGATCTCTGGTCCCAGGAGGCCTTGCAGTTTTGACTACAGGGAAATCAGATCTCACAACACCGGGGGCGGTTTAGGCTGAGGGGGCAGAGAGTAAAAACAGAGAGAAAGAAACAGAGATGGAGATGGTGTGGAAGATATGAAGAATGATTTTGGAACAAAACTGAGAGACAGAGGAAAAAGAGAGAGAGAGTCAGAGGGAGATCAAAGGAGAGAGACAAAAGAAAGACGAATACGTAGAGCGAGGGGGAGAGTATAGATGAGGTGAGAGTATCGAAATGAGAGGAAAGCAGGAAAGAAAGAAAGAGAGGAGGGAGTCTAAGTGAAGGCCAGCCACGTCTGGGTGGTTTTCCTGAGGACAGGCTCTTTGATACTCCAGCCCTCACACTCCAATGCATTTAGACAGGGGTTGACAGTGGTTTCAAGCAGCGGTTTGTCTGGCTAGCTAGCTTTGATTTAGAAGACCCTGGACTCTGGGCCGCGTATTTGACTCTTTGATTTTTGTTGGATGGAAAATCGGTACAGATTTTTTTTGTGCAACATGTAATGGTTTCATCCAACCCTGAAGGCAGAAGGCTTATACCTTCCAATTTATTTTAACATTGTTTTCAAGTGTTTTTAAATTGACTCATGACCAAGATAATTGCAGTATGACTACGCCTACTTAAAAATGATTGTCCACTATTTTTTATTTTGGATTAAAGTCAGTGAAGAAACTTGATTGTCTGAGCTGTTAATGCAAGGACTAACCTTACGTGACAAGATTAGTCTCAAGTGTTTTTTTGCGAGACTCATAAGGTATCGTTTGCAATTTTTCCTCTGACTTTTACCATTTACAACGTCAAAGCAGGTTCAATAAAAAGTCAGAATAACAAAAACAGCCACATGGCTTTTTTCAAATTTGGTTCACATTGTTGTTTTTAAATAAAGTAAAACCAGACTTCTATTGTTAGCAACATTGAGCCAGGCATTGTCTAAAAAGTTATTTTCCATTTCATTTTCAACATTCATATTTGTGCATAACCAAGAAATGTATATCCAATTTTATAGATAGTCAATATCAAACTTAAAGGAATATTTTTGCAAAGCATTCCAAAGTTTCTTTAGCTATTGTTTGGTTTTATTTTTAGATGCAAATCGATTTACAAGCTGCTCCCAGCATCTGTTGAAAGAATAAGTGTCAGAGATGGATTGTAGATCATTTATTTAAGATATATATATATATATATCTATACATATATTTTTTTTCCTGATAAATACTCGCCAGCTCAAAAAAATCTTCCATTTGTGTGGGACACTCCTGTCAACTTCAGAATTAGGTGTGTGTGAGTTTCGTGTGTGTTTGGCTCAGACACACACCGGTCAAACCTCAGAAGATGCGAGCAATACCAGGGGAGGATGTAGCAAAAAAAACAAAAAGAAACACAACAGGATCAAGGATGTGGGGGGGCACAGGAGAAGAGAAGGAAGAGAATGAAAGAAGAAAGCCACTGACTAGCTGCTGGCGAGCAATGTTAATAGCCTGTCGGTTTTGCTGGTTTCTCCTTCCTTCTGCAGCAGCTGTATGCCGCCCAGCTGGCAAGCATGCAGATCTCACCGGGAGCCAAGATGGCTTCCCTCCCACAGGCTCCCAACTCTTCTGGTCCCCTCTCCCCCTCAGCCCTGAAGAGCGAGAAGCGAGCATCCAGTCCCGTGGTCAACATTAAGGCGAGTCCATCGATGCACATGTTGTAAAATGGTTTACGTTGAATGGCATGAGTTGTTGAAATGATTCAACAGGATTTACAAGAGCCAGGTGGACACATTTGTGAGTGTTAATATTGCAATTCAGAACACCATGTTGTCGAGCAACTGGGAATTGAGGACCGTATAAGGGCAACGTATGGGAAAAGAAGCCATGTCTCTATGGTGTGCAACAAGCAACATAACAAGTGAAAGGAAAGAGTGAGTTCAGAATATGTATGAAAGGAAAACACCCAAGAATAAAAACAGTTCATGTAAAAGTGAGAGGCTGGGAATTTGGAAGTTGTTGAAAACAACAAGCCGCGCACGGCCCTGTACTCTTCACTGACAATTAGAAACAGCTTATCTGAAAGTCACACACCTATTGACGCACACAAACAGACGCACACTCCGAAAATGACACTGGCGCTGGCTGCTGTTGGCAGGGGCCCAGACCCGTCTACTGGAGAGAGCGTACGCCTCATCTTTACTCAACGACGAGGCAGTAATGGGAGCCGTGTGTGTGTGTGTGTGTGGGGCACAGCTGCAGCCGGTGTCACAATAGACCGGCGTCAGAGCTCACTCAAACAGTAGTGCCATGCCCTCCGAACTCCCCACCCTGCGCTAACCCCCGCGCACGCTCAGACCCCCCCCAACTTCGGCATGCCACCCGCAGCCTAGTCCCTCCCCACCCGCCGAGCCAGTCCTAAACTCCTCTCCCTCTCAACACTTCCCTCAGCGGAAGCTCAGCCCCAAATTAGATCCACGTTCATTAAGCGTTTGCTGCCAACACAAGAGTCGCGGTTCAGCCGTGTTGACGTGAGTTACACCACATTTCCTTTTCCTGCCGATTCCTTATGTGGATCGGTGTGGTCGTGAATCTTTGTTTAGAAATAGAGGAATTGCACAAAGGTGGCCTTGTTTAGATGAGAAGATACACTGCAACCCCCCCGTCAGGTTCACAGAGGTTAGCAGTGGAATTAATTTATTGAAAAAAACCTGGCAGGGATGACTGATCAGTGAGTGGGAGCATCACTTAAGCACTTTAAGGGATACTTTGGACAAAATTGAAAATCAGCAGCTGTGGTCTTCTTAAAATTAGTCAATTACACTTCCAATGTGGGACCCATTTCCACAGCAGAGACATGTAGTTTAGCTAAAATATTGTATCTGTGTTGCACTAAATTTATACCATCTGATGCTCCCGGTATATTTAGAAATAGCAATATTGGTAAACTAATGATTCCTTGGAACATAATGTGCTTTGTTTCCCGTATAAAACATTTGAAAAGTTGTTTTTTTTGGAATAAAATACTAACATATTGTTAATAAAACACATATGATAATATTGTGTAAATAATCCTACTCCACCTCCCTACACACACCATTTTGTGTGTAATTCATTTTCCAAAAAAGAAAGAAAACGCATAATAAACAAAGTGAAGATGAATTTGTCTGATAGCATTATTATAATTATTATCTTTTAATTTTCTTTAGATATTGCGATGATATTGTTGTTGTGGATGTACTGAAGATCTGATATCGTGACAGGTCTGAGTCTGACACAGATCCTGCTATATTAAACACTTCTAACAGGAGGAAGCATCCACACAGCCGTTGAACCTCTCAGCCAGACCCAAGACAGCCGAGCCTCTTCGCTCCCCGACGTCCCCGACTCACGGCCTGTTCTCCGGGAGCAAGTCCAGCCCTACAGGCCTGGGCAAGGGCCGCATCCCAAGCCCCCTTGCCAACATGAGCAGGAACACCTCTCTGGGTAGGCGACAAACACAGACACCTTTACCACTGGGTAGGCAGGATGGGCACTGCTGCCCTGCCTAAAATGAATACATTAGTATTGGCTTCACCGACATGTTCAGTAAGAATCACATGGTCTGAAAACTGCTTCACTCGTACGCGTACACAATGTCTCCTACACAAACAGACACTCAGACACCAGCGGATTGTCCACATGTGTACCGTACATCCATCCAGAGCAAACATGTCGTCGCTCACAGTGTAAAAACTGTGTCTTCCCCTCAACCGGGAAAACAAAAACATCACCCACCCAAATACCTCCCTCCTCCTCGCCACACACAGTCAAACCGAGCAGCGCCGCTTGCGTCTGATAGACTGCAGACACCTCAACTCCACCAGTAGACCTGTGTGTGTGTACTTGTGTGTGTGGTAGTGTATGTGTGCCTGTGTTTGCGTTTTACAGGAGTCCAAAGCCCTGTATTTAGCCCCAATGAAAACCCCAGCAGCGGAAGCAGTGAAACCCAGCACACGTTATTTGGTTTTTAAGAGCTTCCTCACATTCATTGTCTGCCCGCGCCAGACCTTTTATGCCCCTACCTCTGCTATCTGTTATTAAGGCCGATCTAAACCCTCTCATTATAACCCCCTAGAAAACAATTTCGCCAGCTCCTCTGGAGTGGCTTTGAGGACGCGACGCTTGTGTTCCCTGCGAAGTTATTTTTTGCCCATTTTAACGGCCACCCAAGCATACAGCGCTTCCTACTCGTCTGCTAATTAAACGAGGAGGGCGACGGAAACTTTGCATGCTTTTATTTATTTATTTATTTTCCTTATTCTTCAAATGTGCATCGGCTTCAAAAGTGTGAAGCGCGGCACACAAACAAGGGGGAGCAGGTTCTGTCGTGTTCAGACACAAGTGGACCGGAAAACTACTTTGCGACATTTGGCCCCAGTAAGAGTTTGGAAGAAAATCCAAACTTCATACAGATGTTTAAACATAATTCCTTTGGAATTTGTACGCAGCCGTGCTACATTGTTGGTTCTCAGCTCTTACGTCAACTTGATAGTGATCATAGAGCAGCATGAAATCACACAAATAAGCAAAAATTGGGTTTTCCAAGTGTTAGAGGTGTGGTTCAAAAGCATCCGATTCAAAACCCTCTGGTTTGTTAAAGGGGACACATTATGTTCATTTACAGGTTCATACTTGTGTTCGTGGTTTCTACTAGAACCTGTGTACATGCTTTAGTGTACTCTATACTAATATACCTAATATACCTGTATTTATCTGAAACGTTCTGTTTTAGCGCCTGTCTCTTTAAGCCCAGTCTGCTCTGATGGGCTTGCATGAAATATATGGCACACCATGAGGAAAAAATGTGACGTCAACAACTATTTTCTTCTCCATGACTCGGACGAGACGATGACAAGATGACACCATCGTCATTAAGCACTAACTGACGACATCAACATGCAATATCGTTGATCAAGAAATAAAGACTAAAATGTAGTTTAAAAAATGAAAACAATACCCTGCATTCACCCTCCACCTCACATTCTTAGCTTTAGTTAGAGAGTTAGGATACTAATGAACAATTTCTCTCCAAAGTTGGATTCATTTGTGGGTTTCCCTCTCCTCTTCTCTCTAGTTTGAAGTGGCTTTGTTGGTAAAAAGTGATGTCACATACAAGTATGCGCTAACCAGAACTTTTGAATCAGAATCTGATGACATCCTGTCCTCCCCTCCCAGACATCCTGTCCAGCCTCAACTCCACGGCGCTCTTTGGGGACCAGGACGCCGTGATGAAGGCCATCCAGGAGGCCAGGAGCATGAGGGAGCAGATCCAGAGGGAGCAGCTCCACCACCAGCATCAGCAGCACCCGGGCCACCACAGTCTGGAGGCCAAGCTGTCCGCCCTCAGCAGCATGGCCCTCAACAACGGCAACAAGGTTAGAGGGACAGACAGATCACATGTGGCTACACAAGGACACTCACAGACACACTTCACTGACAAGGTCTATCGGAATCACATGCTGCATGTGAAGAAAGAATTCTGATCGTAATTTCACACACACACACACACACACACACACACACACACACACATAAAGTACACACATGCAAAGACACACAAACTGTACAGTTCATGTGACACACACCAACACATCTTTGTTTTCTTCATCTGTTCTTACTTTTTATTGAGCAGATTCAAATTGTATAGACATAATATGAGATCAGCTTAGGAGAGACACAATCAAATGGGATCATCATTGTGATATCTATGAGTTAATTTGTTTTTATCCTATTCACCTGTAGTATGTATGTAAATGTATGCAATTTTACAATACATGTCTTCAATGGCAGTTTTCTCTAAATTAGTTTTTTTCACCAGAATTCTCCCCTTCAGTAAGAGTTGACTTTCCAGTTTCATCCCTCTCTATATTCTGAGAGGTTTGTTCATACATCACTCATAGCATGATTTATGCAACATTTCATTTCTAAATCATGGCCAGTATTCTCTGATTCATGGAGTGATACAAAGAGATATCCAAAGTTCCCTCAGTAAAAACCTTTCACTCTAATTCTTCAAGAAAATTAAACAAGAATTTTGAACCTGCCTTTATCCAATGTCAAGGTTTCTGTTCTGCATGCAAATCAGCACGCATTTAATAAGCTTCTGCATAATTTGCATCTTGAAACATACATTATTAGAAAACTTGTGATGATAAACATACATTTCTTAGTGTAACTAATCGACTGGGAAGTTTCATTGAATATCTATCGGTTACATTTTTACCTTATTCATCTGGGCTGTCTCCCTTTAAATAGGATGCATAGTATTAAAGCACTCAACAATGTATTTAAAAAGTTAAGCACTTGTACCAGGTAAAACAGTTTTGTATAATAAGTATATTTATTTGATACTTATAGAAGGTACATGTTGCTTATAATAGTGGACGAAGAACTCATCAACACTTACTGCTTTGCTCCAAGAGTCTGCACTTTATTTAAGCACCATTGTTTACCAGCCTTTAGAGGAAGCTGTACCTCCACCAGAAATACTTGCGCTGCTTCTACACATTTTTACAGACGTAGAAGTACACTTTTGAATGCTACTTGGAGTATTTTTACATTGAGGTATCACTACTTTTCCTCCAGTAGAAGATGTGAACACATCTTCTAAACTGCCCACAGCTACAGGAGCATGCAGAGTAATGTGGGAGGGAGGAAAAGGAAGAGGATCTCTTCTGTGTTCAGCATTCAGAACAACCCCTCGCTCCTGTATCGTATTTTCTCCCGTATTTCATCTACCCAGTCTCAGAGATTTCAGCTCAGCGTCTGTCGAATATTCATGGATGATATTTGGTGTTGTTTGGCTCGGGCGGCTGCTCTTGAGTACTTCTCTTTTCTCTTCTCATCTCCACGGCCACCCAGAAGCCAACAGCTTTGAAGACGGAGCAGCTGGGCCAATGACAAGTGATGGTTTTGGCGTTTGAGCGTATGTGTGCGTGTGTGTTTGTGTGCCTGCCTTGACTGAGACCAAGTGGGTGTTTTTTGGGGGAGAGGAGGTGGTGTTAGCATTAGAGTGTGTGTGTGTGTGTGGGTGTGTAACGGAGTCCAGCTCTTCACTTGCCCTGGAGGGGGGATCCCGGCCTCGGGGGTTTAGCCCAATTAAAGGGCCTTTCTCTGGGAAGGGACCTCCCCCCTGTATGCTCACCTCTTCCCCCCCCCCCCCCTCCGCTCATCTCTCCCCCTGGGCTGAAGGAGACAGGGTTTTTGTACCAGGATCTCATATCCAGCGGGACATCCATATTCCAAAACATCTTCTATCAGTCTGATCAGCCAATGAAGGATTCCAGGGATCAGACGTTCAGTAAAATAGGGAACATGATTAGACCGGCTCTCCTGCGCAATTGATCCCATGTTGCTCGCGAGGATGAGGAGGAGGAGGAGGAGAGCAACTCATGAATATTTTAGGGGTGGAGACTTTGAACTCAGCCAACCCCAAGTAGGTCATGATTGGTGCACTCCAAGGATAGGCTGTTTTGAATTTTTTTGGACTTGTTTGCTTCGCATCTTCAGGAGGAAAACATCCAAAATCTGGCAAAATATATCTCTGCTATACTTATCCTCAGTCCCAAGTTTTCAGTCATTATGCTGGTAAACACTGAGATACGCATACATATAAATTATACAATGGCCTTTACTAATAAATTGTTTATTAAGACTTAATTTGAGTTGTCTGCTGCAGGTCTGGCGAAAAAATCCCGCAAATGTTCCCAAATAAGTTTTTGCTTAAAAGACCCTTTTTTTTTGCACAAAGTTAACTTCGAAATAATCACAGATTAAGGTGAGTGTGCATTGCAGCGAGAGCCCTGTGTGCTTCTCAAGCGCTGTATTTTCCAACTTTATAAGAACAAAACCAAAGCGATGCAGTAATTTGGTTTATAGCTCAATGCCTCCTAATAAAAAGCTCATTTGGAAAGTCTCAAAGTAATTGTTTCCGGTTGGAGGACGACAGCAGGCCTCGGTGTTTGTTGTCAGTTTGTTATTCGTTACCTAACAACAGCAGCTCAAAGACTCTTTCTCTTTAGCTTTAAATACATATTTTTTTTCTTTTGGACGGAGACGTTTTTTTATGTGTGTGTCTGTGTGTGTTTTTTCTTCTAAAGCACTCAAAGGCTTTGCTCTGTCTTAAACAATTCATGGATGGAACTTGCTGGATACTGAGAGTGTGACTCACCCGCTCCACCTCGGGAGGCAACGAGACCAGCTCTTTTTCTTTACCTTGGATTTGTGTGTTGTTTTCTGTTCGTCAAATAAATTTGTTACACAAACCCTCTGACACTTTGAAGCTCCTGCCAAGCCTTTTTATTTTATGACATTGTACTAACGCAGCATATTAGACGTCTTCGGAGGGAATGAGACAACTGCTGTTGATGGTGCCTCAGTGTTATATTGAATGTTGAGCTATTTATTGAGTTGTCGCGGTGATGTCTGACTGCGTGTGTTTGTGTTTATTTTGCTTTCTGTTTGGGTATTTTTGTCCCTCAGCTTTCATTTCTAGCCCAGACGACATAGACATTTCCCTAAGAGCTGAAAGTGATCCTGGGCTCCTTTGTGTGTGTGTGTGTGTGTGTGTGTGTGTGTGTGTGTGTGTGTGTGTGTGTGTCTTGGCTCTGCACTGGCCTCCGCCATGTTAATGTCATTATAGCTGGTGTACAGACGAGAGGCCTGGCCAGTTAGTAGCATTGTTGAGTATCACCTTACGCTTACGTTGCGTCCAGCTGGCCTGCGGCTGCCAAAGCTCACTGAAATAGCCGCCGCGTATGACTGTGTGTGGTTGTGTGCGTCTGTTTGTGTGTGCGAAAAAAAACCTGTGCACTGCTTTTTCTTCTTTTTTTTATCTAAACAGCCACACAACACTCCCTAAAGCCACTTAAAATATGTTTTGAGAGATTGTCACATAACCCAACTGACATGTTTTGGAAGAAAACACCAAAATCAACCATGTGTCTCCGGTCGATTGTCCACTCAGGCTCCAACTAATCAGAACATGGAGTCATAACATGTAGAATTTCTAAGTCTGAACCTTAAAAGTGTCACAACTCTGAACAGGAGCTCTGTAATGTTTACATAAAAAATAATTCACTGCTTTGAACCATGAGGGACTGCTTTTCCTGTTTCCGTAGGAGGCGAACACGGTGGGTGATGGCAGGTAAATCTACAGGCCACATAAGCAGGAACACAAACAGGTTTTTTTTTATCGCTCCAAGATCTGTTTTCTCATTTTGGATGATGCCTGTTATGCAAACCATCACTCGACAGCCGGTTTTAAAATTGCAAATGTTAAATGATGAGGACACATGGATGTTTTTTAGTGTCTCTGCTTACGCAATTAAAGGGTTAAGTTGACCGAAGTGCTGAATAGCAAAATGATTCACCCAAAGCTGTCAGCAGATCCTTCGCCAGCCTTCACAGGACAAAAAAAGAAAGCAATTCATGTAAATGAACAATCCAACACGAAAGTTTACTGACTAAAAAAGTGAAGGTTGAAACTGTACGGCTGCCACTCAATACAAAGGTGTTGCCATCAGAAGTCAGAGTGAACAGAAGTAATATTGTCCTTAACAAACTATTCATCAATTGTACATTTTTACACTTTCAACTTAAATTGTTTAAAAAGCCAAACTCGCAGAGTTAAGCTCACATCTGTTATTTCTCAAACATTTCTCTCAGACTTCTTCTTAACTTTTGCACAGTTTTGAACTTAGTATTTAATTGAATGAGGCCCATTACAGAGAGATGCATTTTGTCTGTTGAATAGTTGAAAAGTGCAGTTTCTGTTGGTAGAGCAGAGTAAGTCTGGAGGGAGGGAATGGTTGTATAGAAGTTTATATTGGCTCTGCTGGTGAGTTTGGTCTTTGTAGGAAGCTCAGCCATGTCTTGATTAAAGGTCACAGTAATGGTGCTGTATTTGAAGCCTGAATGATATACATTATAATAATGTATACTACAAAGCTGAGTACTGGCACCTGCAAATAGACTGTTGAGTGTCTACTTCTTTGGGGTTGGAGCCTCAACGGGTGGAGGGCTGGTGGCGGTGTTAAGGGCTATGAATAGGAGGAATGGTGAAAAGGAGAAGGAGGGGAGGGGAACGGGGCTGACGGACAGCTCTATCGGCACACAGCAAAGTCTGAAGAAGGAAAGAGAGCAAGAAAGATGAAGAAAATAGGAATAGAGAGGGAACGGTGGGAGGGGGCCGATGAGGTTGCCAAACTTGATTGGCCCGGGAGGAGACAGTAAACGGTTGCGGGTCAGCTGGAGGCAGGCCGTGCTGGCGGTGGGCAAGTTGTAACTGTGGTAATGAGCTCAGTACGGTGTGGATTAAAAAAAAACAACAGTGATGTTTAGAGCGTTCGCAACTGTGGGGTGACACGAAAGAGTCGGGTGTCTCTTAAATTATGAAATATACATTCAGCAGCAGTATCGGGCTGTAGACCCAGTTAAAGCAATAGCGTGTTAAACATACACAGATGTGATTTGTTTCTCCAGTGCTTGTTTTTGACGTGAATGTTACGCACCTCTTCCCTTCTGTTTTTGTCCTTTAACTTTGATTTATTGAATTAGTCCTTTGGTTTGATTTACCTTTGCCCCTGCAACTCTGTGTGTTTAATTAATTTAGTCCTTGATTCGTTAACTTGTCTGCTTTGAATTGCTACTTTGTTTGCTCCGCTTGAGGCCTGTGTTAAATAGTAATGAAATATCAAGTACAGTACGTGATGGGTGGGTTTTTGCTGTCTGAAAGCCATTCAAAATACACAAAACAGTCTATCCTGAATAAGTGTGCTTCCTCTTCACTGCAACTGCCTGAACAACAGAACTCAAAAGCCTTGACTGTTTTTAACCAGAAAATCCCTCTGCGATGAAGACAAAAGCTTTTATAGGAGCATAATCCAATCGCGTACACAATACAATTGGAGACTCATGAAAGAAAATTTAAAAAAAGTCTATAATGCTGCTCCAAAAGGCAGCAGTCCAGTATCAAACCAGCGTGCGCGCAGGCCAAACCTATTTCAATCTTGACTAAACAAAGTAAAGACAGCTCCTTATTGCATTCGCCACAAGAGCTTTCAAGTAGACCAAAAGTAGACCAACCGCATGGAATATTTGCAAATTTTGACCCAGGTCTGCTGTTAATCTGTATTTTGGATCAGTCTTCCTCTATTGGTGCTGTCCTAGTATGTTTTCCAGAACCCTAACTCCACTGTGCATTAGTTTTCCATCGTCTCCTCCCATTAGGCCTCTAACTACTTAACTTGTGCTCTGGTGCATCTGATAGCGCTACAGTGCAAAGCGGTAATGTTTAGCATCTTTTCAAGAACCATGAATTCAATCTTCTTTTAAACTTTTAATGTTTGGAGCACCAAACTAAAACTTCCAGTTATCTGAGCAAATCATCATGAGCGATGGCCGCATTCCACTATGCATGCTATTGTTTAGCACTGCAAGCTAAAGTCCTTATTCTTGTTTCTGGTCTAGTTTTCCACTCCTGTTTGCTCTTTCTATCTCCCTCTGTCTCTCTTTACTTTAGTCCTTTGTTAGGCGGTTGCTTCCTGCGGTGAGCATGGCACTGCCCAGGCACATGTTCTGTGGTGGGCCTGATTACAGCCCTGCCGTAGTGCTGACATTGGCCCGCATCGACTCCTCATCTATAAACACGCACACACACACACACACACACACACACACACACACATATATGTACATATACACGCCGGCCCCTAAGTTCCACCAACTCTGCCAGCGGCTACCGCGGCATGACTTCACCCGGCAACCATTCCTTGCGTCAAACAAAATGCCTCTGTCACCAGAAAAAGGAGGAGAGGTGGGAGGGAGGGAGGGCAGGGGATAAGAGAGGAGAGGAGAGGAGGAGTGTAGATGTGCGGTAGCTGTGCGGAGGGTTCGATGTTTTCCACCACAGTTTGGGAGTGTGGTGGGGTAATTTTAGCTGGAAGGCCCCAAGGCAGGCTGCTTGTTGAAGTTATTTGTCTCAGAAGTGGAGTGGCAGGCAGAAGGCAGAATCAGAGAACGCATGATGCTGGGAGGCTGGGGAAGACACTGTTGATTAGCGCGGCCCTGAAGGGGCTATGACTGAGCTTATGGCACGGTCATGACCCAATACCCCTCAGATACTGTGAAGTATAAGTTATGAAGCTGCAACGAAGTAAACCGCCCACTTTTAGGTGCTGGACTTTCTTTTGTGCCAACTCAACCTGGCAATTTGTTTTATTGTCATTACCATCGCAGTCGTCCCCAGTGACCCAACTTAAAAGATGCCAGGCACACACAGGGACTTGATCCAGACATTAGATAATAATAACTGCATTGAATTGAAACTTTTTGGGGACAGCTCGTGTCTCCTTTCATCTTTATTTGCAACTTTCTTTGAATAACCGCTCATATGTTTTTTCTTGTGTTGCAGGAGCGGCTGCACTATGAGACGCTGAGCCAGCACCTGGGTAAGCTTGGGGAGGACGCTGGGAAGATGGTCCATCGAGTCATCGACCTGACGAGACCAGAAGATCTGGATGGTGAGCACCGCCTTACTCTTCTTCCCTTTTTCCTCTTTTTCAAAGGCTCTTCTTTTGGTTTGTTTAATTAGTTTTGTTTCGCTTACCTTTCTGATTCTTACACTCCTCATTTCTGGTAGCTTATAATGCTAGTAATTCAGAAATGTATGCAGATGCAGGAAAGACATGGTAGAAAATGGAAGGCTAGAGGGATATCCAAGGAAGGAGTTGCTGGAGCTTTGAGAAGCAGAGTCTCAGTTATAAGCAGTCACATCCTGTTCAGACTAAATTGATACCAGTGACCCTTAACTCCGTGGGCCCCACATAGAAGAGGCCCTACTTCTGGTGTTCTGCCATCTCAGAAATCCGCAATAAAGAAGAAAGCATCTTCCAGAAAGCCAGAACACGCAGGTATTCAGGGAATACAAATATTTATTGTGCTTCTCGGGATGCTACGGTGAAGGACTCCCTCAACAGCTAAACAGAGTGTTCAATGTCAACAGTTTACGCTCTTGAACAATTTCACACTGTTATCTTCCCACAAATACATAACAAGATGCTGAATTCTCCTTTTTTTTCCCGCAACGAGTGTTTGTGACACAAGATCCCACTCAGTGCAAGTATGCAAACAAGAGCAGGCGAAGACATACAGCGAGTGTGTGGTGGTTAATGGTCAATGAAGTTTACTGCAAAAAATCATTTGATAACGAATGATAGCAACACTTCTTTTACGTAGTACATGCAGTTACCAGTTACTGGTGCATAAAACACCATTTCTGAATGTAGTCTAAAGACACTGACTTGGTGTTAAAGTTTTTCTCCCAACCCACCTGTTACTCATAAAACACAGTGTTTACAGGCGATGAGGAGTGCTCATTGTGGTTTAGTTTGGAATCAGAGGACTAAACACAGCAGCATAGGCCTTGAGATACGATCAGGCGGAAGCCAACTGACTACGGTGTGTATAGCTCATGTGTGTTTGTGTGAGCATGTTGAGGGCATCCCAGCAAGACCCCCATCACACTTTTGTTATACTTGTGTTATACATCGTCTCTCAAGGATCAAGGGCTGAAGAAACAAACAGGAAGGGCTCATCCATATCAGTGCAATATCCCACATTTTCAAGCATGAAAGTACGACAGATGAATGTGTCAAAGATGGGCATGCTGAGAATGTTATTCCTTTGTGTCACTACAGGGAGTAGCATCACAGAGGCAAGAGTGTTCAGGGAGGCGCGGGGCAGGAACAACGCCGAGCCCCACATCAAGAGGCCCATGAACGCCTTCATGGTGTGGGCCAAAGACGAGAGGAGGAAGATCCTGCAGACCTTCCCTGACATGCACAACTCCAACATCAGCAAGATCCTCGGTGAGATATTACAGATTTATCTTTTAATCATTTTTCTGAGCAGAGAAACTCATTTACAAATTACAAGAATCAGTTTCTTTTCCTATCGAACTTATCACCTTTTGGATGCGTTGGGACATAAAATATGTGTTAAAACCTATCTATTAAGAAATATGATTATTTGTTCAGTAAGAATGTGTATAAATGGTGTGCGTCAACACCTTGGAGACGCACACACACAAGTCATCAGCTAAAAGTATTTGTGGCTACAATAGAGGTTTTGCCACCATCTTGTTGAGAGGCGCAGTGTATTTGACAGTTGATGGTCCTCAAACCGGGACATTTTTCGTCATGTCAGCCTCTCCGCTCAGGCTGCAGACTATAAGAAGAAGTAGTATGCTTTTAAACTGTGAACACTTCACACACAGAGCTCCACTATGTAAGCCTGACTAGTGTGATGGATTCATTCAGTTATAATGTAGCCGTGTTGATACTAACCTCCTCGACACAGATAGCCATTCACACGGCGCTGAGCACACCGGTTGTTTCGGTAAATGTTCTAAGGACCACCACTGTCCGATGCAGGCCTCTAGTCAGCTCGAGGGTTGCTGAATGCTCCTCCTGAGCAACATTAACAAATTGCTTTTTCTTAAGTGGGTCTGTCCTCCTGACCTGGAACTTTGAATGGGCTCTGATGAAGATAGATCGATAGATATATACTTTATTCATGCCCAGGGGCAAATTTGTTAAAAGGGAGTTTTGTGTTTGACAAAATGCTATTTGATTCATCATTTGTGCAACAGTTTCACTGACAGAATCTTAATTTAAGTCAGAAATGTACTTCTTACCTTATTATGAAAAATAGTCATGTTTGAATTATTCGATTGAAAGTGATGTTTGCAGGCAAATATTAACAGTAAGATCCTGTTTGCTGGAAGCATTTAGAAATGATTTCCCTATAATTTATCAAGCCTCTGTGGCAATATAGGAGCAAAAAGCAGAATCTAAAGTGCAGAATTGTGTACATGACTGCATGTGTACAATGCATGTCTCTCCAACGTAATAACACAGCTGGACTTTGGGGAGTGGGTGGCAGGCTTAAAAAAAACATTGTTTCCTGTGTCACAAAAGTACAAGACTAGTTTGTGATAAACCTTGATAAACAGAGAAGCGAGACGGGGTGTGTATATTCAGAGTGCTTTGCAGATGTGCTGCGTTCCTGCGGTAATGGCCCTGTCCACTTGTTCAGAAGGTCCTCTTACCGGGGGAAATAAGAAGTACACAATGCATAATTCTTCTCGAGCCAAGAGGGAGCAGAGTGTTATCCACTCCTGAACAGCCTCCTTGGTTGAAGAATTGATGGTTTCTGTTCATATGACAACATCCAACCTTAAAAAAACACCAGAAATGCTGACGTTTTCATGGTTAAACCACGGCTCTGTCACTCTTTTGTATGATTGATTTAATGTGCAGCTGAAGTGACAGTATGTCAGCATTGTCGGATCACTGATTCAGTGCTCGTTATATCTATTGTAGATGTAAACTCTGCTCAACCAGTAACATTGAAACAGCGTAGAAAAGCATGTCAATGCCTTTTTTTGTTATTCCCAAAAGTCCTTGTGGCCGTTAATAGCAGTGAGTGAGGAGTCAGCAGGCAGTCAGCAGCAGTTTGAAATGGGTAATAAAAGGTGTTTTGAGAAAGTGTGAGTCACCGCAACCACGAGAGATCCTTGAGCATGCTGCCATAACTGATCACCCAAAATACGATGCAGTTTACTGCAGCAGATTGCGAGATTAGCTGTGGACAGACACAGAGGTGCACACTCACTCACAGACACACATGAGCAATCGCATGATCCTCCTAGACGGAGATAACTAAAAACTAAAACGTCCTTTTCTCCAGGCTCTCGCTGGAAAGGCATGACCAACCAGGAGAAGCAGCCGTACTATGAGGAGCAGGCCCACCTGAGCAAGATCCACTTGGAGAAATATCCCAACTACAAGTACAAGCCGCGGCCCAAGAGAACCTGCATCATCGATGGCAAGAAGCTGCGCATCGGAGAGTACAAGCAGATGATGCGGTCACGACGTCAGGAGATGAGGCAGTTCTTTGTGGGGTGAGTACCAGAGTTTTCCCTGGACATCACAGCTTTCTGTGTAAGTGCTCCTCGTGGTTTGAAAGAGAGCTGCAGTGAAAGACGATGTTCAAACTCAACCTGACAGTCTAATGTGTGGAACTACTGCACAGTGTGTTGTACACAGTTTGCAATGGAATTCTGAATATCACAGCGTCATTTTTAATTACAAGGTTTAATAATTCTAAAGAAATAGCTTGTCCAACACATTTTTCTCCATCATTGTAATTACATACAATATTAGAAGGAATTCTGCTTATTTCTTAAGAGGGGTCATTGTGCATTGACAGCCGCATGCCTTTGGTCACACACAGGCGATGTGTCTCACTCAACAACACTTTGACTAATTGACTGTTGCACCTGTGACCGTTCAGTTCGGTTGTCTCTTGAATAAGCATGCCGTTCTGCTCGCCACCTTGGCCTGAATACAGGTGTTTAAGCAAATCTAATTAGCTAGATAAAAGAAAAAACATCCAAATGTAATTCATGAATTCAATCTGGTATTTTTTTAAATAACTTTGTTTCTTGTATATAAGGTATTTCTTCTTAATGTGTCACAGTATGAATATAGAAGAAATATTTTAAACTACTTCCATTTGCTAGAGGGTTTATGGACCATTAATTAAAGATTTATTTTTGGAACCTCCCGGTTGTATCTACAAAACCCTTTTAACATGCGCTGAATAGCATTATATTTTAGAGTGTAGTCAGTGCAGAGAGGGGGAAAACAGTGGCATTGTCTTAATAGGAACCAGCCATGGATGTGTTTAAAGCCATCACAGTGGCCTGTGCTTGAGATGGATTTACCAGAGGCCACAGCTTTGAATAGGAGCGATTTTTAATAGCTTGTCATTTATTAAATTAGGACAATGCCGGGCGCTTGCGGGCAGTGAAATTGGACACAGACAGACATAGTGGAATATGAAATGTAAGCAGATGTATGAGAGGTAAACGAGAGCGAGGCAGACGTCACAGGCTCAATGCCACATCTACTGTCAAGTTAATGCAACAAAAAAAAAAAATAGCTCATGATTCTACAGGCCTGGTCTTTCAATCTAAGCTAAATCAAATAGTTACTGGGAGCCAGTATACATCCAGATTCCATACGAACACATTCCATATAACTAAACCGGTGTTGTTTTAAAAAAGCATTTCATGTGAAAATGTGTCCGTCAGAGCGCACAGTGGTAATTGTTTCAGGAGACTAAGGAGGGAAAACTGTTAGGTGAGAAAAGTGACGGCAATTTTCCTGCTTTATGTGGTTAATTTGAGGAGCCAGAGGGCCTGCTTGAGTGATGTGCATCTACCCTCATTCCATCTATATCTTAACAGGTTATTTAGCCGATGCTGCTGTGAGCTGGCAGGGAGAGCTGCGTGTTAGGACATGCCCGGCCAGATGAGAAGCTGTTGCTGTTTTACTTAAGTGGTCTCAGAATGAATGTTTTGTTCAAAGCAGTTTGTTTAAAGAAGGTTATAATTAATAAGTATCTGATCAAACGGCGATCCATCCATGCTATATATGCTAACTGTTGCTGTGACTAAATCCTTTTATTGTTAAAAAAACATGCAGCCTGTCTTTGTGTTTTTAGCCACGTCCGACAGACACAACATGTTTCTGAACTATCTCGACAATCATCAGATGGATTGCTATTACATTTTGTACAGACGTTCATGATCTCCAGTGGATGAATCCTACTGATTCAAAGTGATACCCTAACGTTTCCTCTAGCGCCACCATGAGGTTAACATCTGTGGGTTTCTGTGTGAAAAGTCTCAACGACTACCAGATGGATTGCCATGAAATTTGGTTCAGACAATCATGTCCTCTCAGGCCTCAGTCTTGTTTTGTTTCTGTTGTAATTTTCTTTGATGTTTTATTCATTCTAATTCCATGGTCCTTGTGTTATGTATATCAAGGTTGTTTAATGCCTAATACCTAACAGTTTTCCCTTCCATTCTTTCTCTTCTTTCCTTGCTTCTCAGGCCTCAGCCACCGATGACTCTCGGCAACAGCCCCGGCGGAGTAGTTTACCCAGGCGCCATAACCATGGCCACAGCCACAACATCCCCACACCTGACCTCAGACTGCTCCAGCAACTCAGCCAGCCCTGAACCTGCCATCCCTGTCATTCAGAGCACGTACGGGTTGAAGTCCGAGCCTGGCGGCGGGGGCAGCAATGGCGGTTTGGTCGGAGCGTTGGATCTGCAGAGGGACCCTACCAACGGAGCCGACGACATGGACATGTACGAGGACTTTGAGGACGAGCCCAAGTCAGACTATAGCAGTGACCGCGAGACACGGGAGGCCGTCAGTGCCAACTGAGTGTGCTCAGGGTGTCAGTTGTAAAAAGAGAGAAAAAAGAGAGAAACTCCTGTTATACTCAGAGACACTTTTTAAAAACACAGTTTATTATAGAGACCTTGAAGCAAAGCATCAGGACATGTTGCGTCATGCACTGAGCATGCCCAGACAGGATCCAAACTCAGCAGCCATGCTCAGAAAGTTCTTGAACGGTATCTCGAAAGACGTCCATTTGAAGAACAGGGCTGATGGAAACAAACGTGACCCAAGAAAACAACCTGAACAGACGTGCAGACATCAAACTGACAATGACCTTCCGTTTCCTACACTTTGACAATCTTAACAGGAGCGAATAAGAGTTAGAGGAAAGAAAGAGAACGAGAAAGAAGGGGACGAAGGACAAATGAGCGACGGACACATTACTGTGTGGTTTGTAAAGAGCATGCATAGATTGTGAAACATCAGGAATTGGTCTTCAACAGCTATTTGGTCTTAATGTTTAAGGTGTGATTTAGTTTTTATCATTATGTATTTACTTTTGTTGTGTTCTTGTTTCCTCATTGTTTTTTGTTCTGTAGACTTTTTTTCTGACAGGTCACTGCCTGTACAAACTCTGGACTGTCGGAACTTGAAATTTTAAAAGTTTTAATATAAATCCTAGCTATTGTAATCTTATAGTCTTACTTTTGTTTCTTACGAATACAGTGCATCTACATCTTGTTTTTCTGACAAACTGCTTACATTACTGTTTCTTTTTTTTTTTATATCCCAGCTCAGGTATGATGTGCCAGCTTGTGAATGTGTTGTTTTGTTTCTTTGTTTTCATACAGAAAGAGTGATAGGACTTTTCAGACTGTCATCGAAATAAAGGGAGCAAAATCCCTTATATCACATTATTATTATTATTATTATTATTATTATTATTATTACTAAGTATGTAAGTAAGAAAGTACCCAGGCATTGTACAGATTTACTTCAAATGTGCCAAACCTACATTCACATTCGCTTGGGATGTTGTAGTCTTAACTTCCAATGCTGCAAGAAAAGTCTTATACAATCAGCTTTTTTCTAGGTGATGAGATGAATTCCTACTTGGTAACTGTTGGCTCCCCTCCTGGCCCAATCCCAGGCAGAGCTCAGGGAGGATGTGTTTTCATCACGCTCGCTCAGTCACAATCACACACACACACACACACACACACACACACACACACTTCAATCTCTGGCAGCCCCTCCAGCTTCGAGATGTAGTTAGAAGAGTCTGTTCTTCAATTCCACTGCATTGGTGCTTTCATGAACCACATTGCCCATAGTTCCTTGAGGCCAAACACTTAGCACATTGTGCTGTAACATTTCGTATTGGAGTCTGTCTCTTTCAATCTGGCCAAAGGTATAGACATTAAATTTCTGCTAAGACACTTCAAGAGTTCGTGAGTCTTAAAAGTGTCCCTATAGCTTTGTTCATCCAGCGTCAGAGAAAAGGGGATGAGCAGCCCCAGTGTTACCCTACTGTAGAAAAACAGTTTCTAATATTCTGGATCCCGTCACTGTATTTTGAATTGTGTTTTGAATCGGTACAAAAGTGTAAAAATGTTACTATTATTATTAGCCTGTTAATATTCGTAAATGTCTTCTCAGCATCACGTGGGAAAGATAAACCAAACTTGTGTTTTGAGAAAAGAATTTATATAGTTTCAAGAAATGGGTTTAAGAGGTCTGTTAAAGGGCACCGTTTTCTACATTGCATGTATATTTTGAAGACGAGTAAATTATTAAGAGAAGAATGGAGGAAAAAAAGGTGCCTGATTCTTAATCAGCTTCTCAGTCAGAGCAAGGTTTGACTCCAGTCTGAAACAAGATGTTCCTCTTCCGTCTTGTTGTGGCCCAGTGGTCAGCACCTCGTTGGGTGTGCACGCTTTTTCCTCTATTTTTCTCAAATGTCACATTCTTTCTCTGAAGACACAATATTTTTTCTTTGTCTCTTTTCACCACACTCTACATTTGGAACATTTTCAACAACCTGTGACCTTGGGGTGGTCTCTGAGTGCTCTTTTTAGCTGTTAGCTGTTTCACTCGTCTTCGTGGCTCCATGTTTCTCACCATATCTGGCAGTTTTTACTTGGGTAAGCTTCACAAGCTGGGACTGAACATTGTTTTTTGCTTGCGTCACAGTAAAAAAAAGCCTCATGCATAGACATTTCTGTTAGTGTCATACGCATCCTAAGCACTGGATATAAATTCTGTTTTTTTAGTTTTTTTTTAGTATTGACTAATGTGAATTTGTTGTTTGATTTTCAACATGATACATTAGAACAGTCAAAAGTCACATGTTTGGACTCTATAGGAAGCCTCGTACATGCTAGGCACAAGTAAATTGCCATTTCTTTAGAAGCATTTCATTTATTGAAGCAAGTTTTGTTGCTGCAGCTCTAGTGCCGCCTAAAGGGGTCACATCGCCTCTGATCTCTTTGAAACCTCATGCTCTTGTCACTTGTGACCTGCAGAAGCAGAACACAAGTTTCCTGGTCGCATACATTTTGTGATGAGTATTGTATTTGAAATTCAATTGTGCGTTTTAACATTTCATTGTATTTATTAGCCAGCTTTGGCTCTAAAAAGTGTCAGTACAACTTGGTGAGAAAGACAATCAAAAAAAATAAATAAATAAGAAGTAAAGACTTGAGATTTTCCTTATAAATGTGTCACTTCATCATTGCTTCATGTGTTTCTTTGACTTTTGTGGACAGATGGGAGTTGCACAATTTGTTTATATGCGGAAAAGCACTCATACCTATTGTGTTGTGCACGTGAAAGCACTGCGCACAAACTACAGGTAGTGCTGCAGGATTTTTTTTTTCCATTACTCTAAAGAGTGCTCTTACTTTCCAGGCATCTAATAATTTCCAAACACAAGGCTTTCTGTTTCCAAAGTTGAGCTATTCCACTTGGTCCTTATATTTTGGTGGCCCATTACAGTAAAATGTGGCCTATTGTTCCATTGTGCGTGCGTGTGTGTGTATGTGTGTGAGGTAATGCCACACAGACTGACTGTGCTGTGGTGTATACGCCACGGCGCCGGTGCTCGCTGCAGCCAATCCCAGCATTTCGGAGAGAGAGGAACAGAGGGCTCAGCCATATGCAGCCACATCATAAATCTCAATGTAATTCCCAAATCAACTGTAGCGTCACCCTGCAAGGGGCGCCGGCAAATTTGTCACACACTCCTTTGTGTGCACTTTTGTGTGTGTGTGTGCGTGTGTGTGTGTGTGTATGTGTGCTATAGCTTTTAGTTGGGAGGGGTGTTTGAAATCATACTTGTGCTGTGTTGCCATGCTAATCTCGTGAAATAAGTCATCATAATTTACATTTCCTTTCTCCTTTCTGCAGGATGAACGTTTAGCTGTTTGCAACTTGACAGATTGTTCCTGTGTGTACATGGCTGTGTGAGTGCATGCAAAGCTTTCAGCGCCTCAACATGGGAGAGCATAGTTCAATACAGTGCAGTCATACTTCATAACTTGATGTATACATTCATATACAGACTTCATTTAGCCAGGGAGGAAACGGGTGTAATCTGCAATGTTCCATGATATCCCAGTTGTTAAAGCTACTCGTAGCTACATTTAAAAAGATTAGCAGTCAGAAAAACATACAAAATTGACCCGAGTCAAATTCGTAAATAATTTAAATAATTTGTGTGCACGGAGTATCATACCTGGGTGGGGCTTGCATCTGGAAATGAGTCACAAAAATCAAATTGAGGGACTAGTTTTCGGTGGTCATTCAACTGAGTCACTCTTGAATTGTCCCAATGAGGCCAATGAGATAACCTCCGACCACGCATAACAATCCTCTGCTTGAATAATATTGTGTCCGCTGTGGTGTTTCCCACAAAGAAAATCTTAGGAGTGTATTTACTCTTCTTTTTTTTCTGACATTTTCCGACATACTACAACATTACTTTGATGACTTTTTAAATGAAAATGTTACACTACGCTATGAGTTTTTTTCAGTAATGTTACAAAAAACTGTACCAATACTTTTTATGGCATACTATACTTAAAAAAAATAAAATACAGAACAGAAAGCTTTTGAAAAATGTTACTCTTAAAATACAGTACTTGTTTGTTTTTTTTCAAAAAATGATTTCATTGAACTGTTGATGCCCTGCAGCTTTAAATTCATTTAATTCAGGTGTGATGCCAATCAAAAAAGCGAAAATATCCATATTATTCTCATCTTCTAAAAAGAGAAAAATTGTGTGCAGGGACTTTATCTGCAGTTATTGAAACCACTTGTGTCAGATCTATTCCTCTCTCCGTTAACATTATTGTTGGTCAGTGAATTAATTTATTAGGAACCTAATCATATTCAACATACTATGATGTGACATTTTTTGACATACTATATATTCTTTATGCCATTTTTCAACATACCATACTATGACTTTTTTAATACTTTTTTGACATACTATACTATCACTTTTTATGACTTCGAAAAAACTATATTATGATATTTTTCTAAAATAATGACTTTTTGACATCCTACATTTTTCGACATACTGTACTTTACAACATACTATACTGTTACTTTTTGACATACTATACCATGACGTTTTTACGTACTATATTCTGATTATTTTTAACATACTATACTTAGGACTTTTTATGACATTTGTAAACATCCTATACAAAGACATTTGTCGACAAACTGTACTTTGACTCTTTTATGACATTTTTCAACTTACTACACAATGACATTTTTGACATGCTATACTATGACCTTTTTCAACATGCTATACTATGACCTTTTTCAACATGCTATACTATGACCTTTTTGGAGTTTTTGATTTCTAAAAAAACATATTGAAGAGTAGTGATAACAAAATCCTTTCTCTTTTCCTTCCTCACCAATCAAGCCTCAACCAAGATCATATGAGTTATAAATTGTTATCACAAAGAAGGAGCCCCCTTCAGACGTGTTGGATAGGCTCTTTCAATGAGGCATCAAAGCCACTCTGTATGATCACGAAGGCTCAACTACTCATTAAAACGCACAGAACGGTCTTGGTGCTGCTCCATCTTCTTTGAGCTTAGAGCTAATGATGCTTAATCATTTGAATGCTTTTGATTCAAAAGGGTAATAATTGACCCTTGCTCTGCCATTGAGTTGCCCATGTTTTACAATAAGCACTGTTTGTGCCTTTCTGTAGGTAAAACATTGCTTAGAAGTCTGCATTTAATTGAAAAGTGAATGTTTGTTTTTTTTACTTTCAGGTTATGTACAACTGCTTAAAACAGCATTTCAACATAAGGCAGGTATAATTACGTACGTGCTACATGAAATTAAAACTAAGTTTACTGAAAGGTTAGGGTTAATAGAGATCAGGCAAATTGTAATATTAATAGCTATTCATACCGAGGGGAACATGAATGTCTCTGCCAAATTGCATGACAATCTCCATCGAATAGTTGTTGAAACATTCCACTGAAAGCATAAATGTCCGGCTCACAGTATGATTAATCCTCTGGGGACCATGAATGTCTAAAAAGGCTGGCAGACAGATCAACTTTGCCATCTCTGACTACAACTACATACTCTGACACAATAAAGTGATACATTTTATATTTCTATATGCATCAATTTTATTATTCTATATGCATCAATGATAATAAAGACAGAATAAAAACAATAAGAACTTACATTTTATTTCAGATTCAAACAGGTGGTATGACTTTATATAACACAAGAATATAGAGCATGTGTACTAAGTAGAGTTTTCAATATTCTATGAAAAACCTTTTTTTTTTTTTTTTTAAATCTGCTGCCCTTTATTATAGTGCATACTAATATAATATACTGTATTTGTCAGTGTAATGTAAAACCTTACCTTGAATACAATGTTAGACCGTTTTAAGCAAATTAAAATTTATAACAATTGTAAATTGGGAGGGGGTCTTATTAGAATTCCAAGGGTCAGCAGCCTTGGGAGGCCTTCAACAATAACTAAAAATCTCAATGCAATATCTGAATAAAAGGAAATCACACACACAAAAAAGCTTTGAAAGGAGTTGCTTTAGCTGCATTTGTGTTTCAATGTCTTTGAAACATTGCATAAAGGCCTATACTTCTTTTTTAATGCAATTAGAAGTGAAAGAAAAAATCTACAGCACTTTTTGGATGGGCAATGGACAAAAGGCCAATTTTTCGTCTTTGAGGAAAAGTCCTTGGGTCTTTTTAAGTGCATTAGTCCGCTAATTAAATATTATATGTTTAACAAAAAATGCACTTTGAAAGCAGCTGGATTGTTTGACTGAAAGACATGGCTGCATCCTTGATGAGTGGAACTGTGTGTGACCATGAAGAGGTAAAGAACGTCATTGTTGCCAATCCTCCCCCCATTTCACCCATCGTAATCCTTTCTGCCGATTTTACAATCGCATTCCCTTTTGTGCTTCCTTCACAGATAAAGACACTAGACACGGTTATGCAGAGCAGGGGACTCATTGACATATCCGACCATCCATTACTTCACAGTCTGATATGTTTGTTTCATTGACTGCACACCAACTTATTGTTCACTGTTAAAAATGGTATGAAGCACTGCGGGCTACCGGTTTGTTTACCAGACAAACTGAACAGCCTTGGGTTAAAACAACAGGAAGTGTTCAATGTTAGGTCAAACAGTGATCGCTGGCAAAGTTTTACACTTGAACTTATCTCAATTCCATGCAGGTTTTTTGCCAAACATTTCAACATATATATTGTATTTCATGTTATAAACTCTGTAGAGCTAAGATCATTTGGTCAATTCCCCCTTTACACTGGCCAGCTGGAAAGTTTTAACCTCCCAACCTGTATTACTATAATAATATATTGTATGTATAAATCTTTTTGACAGACTCCTCTCTCTTATAAACTCTTTACCATCTGTGGATTATGTACAAACCTAATACGCTTTGGAGGAAACGAGATGATCCTTTGATTATGTATGATTATGCTGCTAAATCATCACTCTCCATTGTTTTGTCAACTGCTGTCGCTAAAGTCAAGAATAAATAATAAATGTCCATTTTTAAGCCGACATGGATGAGAGGCGCCTACATTTCAGCATCTAATTGAAATCCAAACGATCAACGTTATAATGAAGGTGATGTGATCAAAAGCTCCAGAGCAGCTTCTAAACATTGCACCCAGTGGTGAGATTGTTCAACTTTACTCTCAAAGTGTTTTCCTTGTTTCCTCCTGCAGTATCAGCTCATGGCAAGTAAAGCATAATTAAGGCCTTCATTTATTATGTTTGGACAACTCAGAACACTTGATGAAGGTTCTGTAAATGTTGTGGTAATGGCACATTCATCACATGGCTGGACAACCAAAGCACTTAGTTAAATGTTGACAAGGGTTATGGTCTTGGTTATATACTGAAAAAGTCGATGCAGATTTGAGGGATTAGGGAGTTGAACTAATGAGCATTGTACTCTCTGACATACAATGCTCGCTGCAGTATTACAAGGTTGCACTACTTTGCATTGGAGCAGCTTGTTGCGAGTGAATATGATCCAGTGGCAAATTAGTTTAAAAATAATCATTTGTAGAAGACAATGTTGTGTTACAGTAATGATACATTAAAAGCAGCAAGAATAGCAACCTCTGAAAATGCTTGGTACTACCGTATGTGCAACCTTTATTTGTGTCAGTAATTCACCTTTCCTTCCGTCTCATATGAAAATATCCAAGGTGGGATTAACCACATTCACCACATTAGAATCAACTTTGATCACTTTGAGCCACCTTCAAACAGGGAAGAAGAAGCTTTTCCTCTTAAACAGCCTTGTAGCCTCAGATCACAAGTTAAATTGGACATGTGTGGAACCTATTCATTACACTGCTCATTTCTGTCTGACAGTCTTACTTTTATGTGTGCTTGAAGCATAAAAACACCAGTTTCAGATTGTTTAAGAGGACTACAGAGCATTTTTCTTTAGTTTTATAATGTATCATAACACACTGCACTGATAGCAGAAATCTACTGTAAATAGATAAACAAAGCGTTGATATGCAAATTTTGAAATAGTTCAACATCTTCTCTCATGCAAAGCTGACTATGATAATTCATTAAACTTCAGTTATTACGTTGAATCAACCAACAACTGTAACAGACCGATTTGCTTTTACATTTTCTCAAATTTAAAAGTTAGTCCTTCATTTGCCACAAAGACTACAGAAGCCACCGCTGTTGAAGCGCCATATAGTTCAAACACAACACGCAAGGCTGCTCCCAGTAACCTTATGAAATTATAATCATAGGGGCAGGGACTGAATGGGATACTAACCTTCATTGTAATCAGCATAAATTCTGAAAGGAATAAAAACTATGACCCAACATTTATTAAAAACACAAAGCAACTTTCCATCCTCGTAGTTTTCTTCAAACTACGAAAAACTCATACACACACAGGTACATATATGCAATTTGACCTGCGTATTCTGGGAGCGGTTCAATGGTTTGCTCAAGGACACTTCAACATGAGGACAGTCAGAGCTGGGGTTCAAACCGCTAACCTTGAGGGACAACTCGCTTTAAGGGTCTCAATGGAGGTACGTCAATGGCATGGAATAGTAAAACAATGGAGACTCGTAAGTCTGCTAATATGCTATTAATAAATTATATTTGACAAGTTAAGTGAACTCTCAGCAGTATTAATTCAACACGTCTAAGTACTTAGTCAGGTGAACCCATGTTTATGATTTCTGAAGTGGTCTGCAAAGACAAAGTAATTTGAGTTACGTTGAATTAACTGGAAATTTGAAACTTGCATATTTAGTTAATGAAAGAAAAAAAGGCCTCTGAGTGGGCAGATCATACATGCCCCCATAGTTGTAGGCTAGTGTAAAAAGTAGCTTTTCAGAGAACTACAAAACAAAACGCAGCTGCAGTATTAAGTCATTATTATGCTTTTCACGGTAAAAATGTCTCGGAGCTTTAACCGTTTTTTAATTAGGACAAACGGCTGTCCTACTAAATCTAGGACCAAGTTGTAACATAAGTTGTACTGCATATTAGTCCACACACATAATTCAGAAGATAATACTGTTTAACACTGTATTTACATGCTGTTATAGCACTTAAAATGTAAATTAATTCACAATACATTTTCAAATTTACAGTATATGATCGGTATACATCCTGTAAAGTAGGTAAAAAGCATCTTTCCAACAATAACCCCAGAGATACAAATGTCCAGTTATGCACTCCTGGGTACAGTAAATAAGTTGAGACTTGTTTTCCATCAGAACTGTGGTTCACACTGAATAAGCATGCAAATAACCCTCATGGGTTTTATGATCAGGCTCAGTTTTTGTGGCTGAATGCGACTCTGATAAATGTGGGAACAATTAATGTGTTTCTGGCACGACCTTTATCACAACGTGCCAAAAAGGCTTATCGGAAAACAGACTGTGGTAAAACAAATATTTTAAAAATCACAATGATAGCAAAACATATTGTCTCAAACTACAGCCTGAAATAACAAACAATGGGGAGCACATTTCATTATAAGCCTTCATTTCAGTGGATTTACAAAGTGTATCACCAAGAAGGACTTCGGTAACTCTTCCTGGTCTCACAGCAGGGCAATGCTACAATATGCTGGTAAATGAAGCTCAGTTTTTAGCTCATTGTCAATCCAAAATATTCCTCTTTCTTCTTAAAGTAGTAGTTGAGTCGTGCCATGGCATATCTGGGAGGAGAGCAGAGCATAGAAAAAAAAAATAATCAGAGAATACAATATTTTCCTACAAAGCTCTTAGTAAATAATGTAAAATCTGTTCACTGTCCTTGGATGTTTATGGTGCATTTTCACAAGGCTTCAAATGTGACCCAGCACTATTGTTGCATATACTCTAATCTTCCTGTGTTGTTTGTCTTATCTTTCCGGTCTCTTTCTTCTCTGTGCTAAATAAATGAACAAATATATAAATCTCCTTTTAAAGGGCAGTTTTCTGTAACAACCTTAGTCCAAACAACCAGCACTTTAAAGTTGCTTGCATTGAATGTAAGTCTCTCCTCAGCAGATTTGCATTTTATTACAGTAGGATGGCTTTTTTGCCATATAGTATTGAACTTTCCTTAAATTATAGGACAGAGATAAAAAATAAAATAATGGTCATAATCAAAGAAGCAGAGACCGACATACCCTGACTTTTAGTCTCGAGTTTGGGTCCAACTCCAACAATGCTGAATTTCCAAAATGCAACTTGGTAGCATGTTATTTTTGACCCTCGCTGCCTGATTAACGTCTCAACTCAACATCTCAAGATTGTAACATTTTTCTCAAGAAGATTCAAGAAATCTTGGAATCTTAAGTTGAGATGACATCATTATGACATCATCAGGGTTATTTTCTCAGACTTGACAAAAGCTCCTTCAGGACCACAGAAGATGTTCTATGCTTTTTACTGGTTGTTATTCACTAAGATGAGTGAACTGATCCTTATATGTAAGATTCAGAGAGCGCTCATTTAAAGTGCATCATCGCAGGCATCTCAATACACTTTAGAAATATGATTAATATTACAATGTTAAAAAGTAAATGTAGTTTATGTAGTAATAACATTCACAGTAATGGAATATTTAGTCTGTATTTGTTTGTTACATATATTTAAACTACCTGAACTTTTCTTTGACATATCTGGCTTTTGACCTCCGGAGCTTTTCATTCACTAAGCTAGAACATACTTGAAGTGCTATTTATAGGATTCTGATATATACCCATATCTCATGATGTGAATCACATCTTGTTACTGCATCCTCTCGTCATCAGTGTGCATCCTCTGAAATGTTTAAATCAAAAAATGGCATTTTTCTTAAAAGATGTAGACTTGTCTGTTGAAGTTGAAGTGCATAATCTGTTTGTCCAGTGTTCACTCCAGGTCCCACCTCATGCTCTGCTTAAAGCTCAAGGTGGTAACTATGTTTTTTGTTTGCAAAACTTGCATAACAATATAGCATCAAGTCTCTATTCAATAAAGCACTGAGTCTGAAAGCTGTGCCAAAGCCTCGGAACTTAACTGCGAGAAAAGTGGTTTATTATCGAACGCTTCAATAAATCTGATGTCTGAGTAAGCCGTTGCCCTTGGCCATTATACTATACCCTTTGAAATTAAGTGAAGTTTCAAAAGCACAGAAAATGAAGGCACAGAGAGGAGTTTGTCCTTTAATCAGTGCTTTCACTGAACTCCTCAATGTCGAATCAGTTTTCTCCCTTTTATTGCACGGTGAGACAAAAACATAATTCAGACACATGCCTTTTAGTTACTTGTATTCCATCACTCTGTTCTTCACCTGTGTCTCTGGGTAAAACTGCTCCCTAATTATTGTGTCAGAGTCTGACTTCTGTTGTTTGCTCTTTGCAATTTTTCTTCGAGTTGTTTCTTTCTTTGAGTTTCTTTGCTTCACTTGTGGGTCACCTTTAGACAAAGAACACACAGCTTTAGCTTGTTGATAGGTTGTACAGCATACGTCTAAACTTTGCCAATGAAAAGTAGTAGATTAAAAAAAATTGGGGGAAAAGAAAAAATAAGAGCCAGCACACCATTTTCTATTCTCTCATTGTGGTTTGGCAACACTCAAAAGACATTTTCTCTGGACAGATTTTTAATACACCATATGCTACTGTGGATGATTGACTCAGATGGCAACACGAGACCTAAACCTGATTGGATGAAGGCAAAACTTGGTTGTAACGTGTAAAATATTTGCTTCTGCTTTTCAAAGTGAAAAAAAGAATATGGTGGCTGTTACGCTATACCATCAAACTTTTTGGTATTATCAATGAATGTGCCTCACACATTAAGTATTCTGACACTAGTTCTACTTTCACACTAAAAAGGTGAAAAAAAATTAAACCACTTAGTAAATAAAAAAATGTTATGAACATTCAGTTTGTTCAATTAAAAAGTGAAAAGAGCTTAAATTTCAGCTTGTCAAAAAAAAGTAAAACAAAATAAATCACTGGTCATGGCACTTCTCTTCTGTTAATCGAATTACCGGTTTCGCTCACACCCTTCATAAGCCGAAATATATTTGAGTGTACCCATTTTAAAAGAACAGCAACCTTCACAGGTGATCCCATTCATCATTATTTTATCATGGCCGACACCTCAAACTAGCGTGCTTAACATTTATCATCATCAGAGATGAATCTGAGATGTTTTCCTATTTAGCAAAAGTAGGGGAAATGAACTCCCTCCAAAAGCAGGTATTCTATTTCACAATGTGCTTTTGTGCACAATTCTGCAGTCAGGCTATTCCAAACAGTGGGCCTCCTTCTCGTTCATTTCCTCATAATAATGTCTTTGTCAAATAACGGCTCACCTTGCCAACACATCCACAAATCTAAACCGCTGACTCGCAGACTTTCAACACATGAATAAAATCATATAAGGAAAGTAAACATGGACGGTAGAGGGAGGGCGGGTTTGCATTGCCGTTGTGGCTCCCTATTGTCACATGTACATCTGGCCCTGGTTAAAGCACAAGGCCTGGGCGACGCCCGTCACTAGTTGGGAAGTCTGCAGAGATTTGGCTCAGGGGGATAACAGTGGAAGGAAAGACACACACACACACACACTTTCAGGGTTTGACTCTTAACTTCCTATTTCTTGCCTCAAAAAGAACTTGTTTATCACAAAAGCTTATAGCAGCAACGCATTGTGTGTTCTCTTTTGAGTTAAGGGAAATAGAACTGCGTGGTGAAGATGAGGGTAAGGTTGTGGTCATGTCAAGTAAGTTAAGGCTTTCATCATTCTATTTTGAATTAAATAAAATTACTACTGTACATTTAATGCAAACAAGGTCTTGCAGTAATTAACCTGCACAGACTTATCTCTTAACCCTGCTTTTCAGCACTTATGCTTTCATACATTCACTTTACACCAACAGCCTAGAACCAAATGGTGGACAGACAAAGTTAGCGGCTAGCTAAATAGAGTTGAGCGCCTAAAGAGACAGCTACTTTGTTTAGTGGTTCATCTTGTTTAAGATAGCAAAAAAGAAAATTGGTGGACTTCTTCAACAATTCGATTGAAGTTCTGGAAAGATCATTAAAGCCCTATTCGCACAGGACTAGTAATACCTGGGAACCTCTACTTGCGGAGGTTGTCTGCAAATATACCATGTCCTTAATTTGTCAAGTAAAAAATGTCACCGCAAATTACTAAACATATTTCTCCAAAGACAGAAATCAAGTGATAGTAATATAAGTCCTGCGCGAATCGGCTTCTTGGTGATTTGGGGGTCTTATTTGTGTTCTCCGTGCCTTGTTTCTGCCTCTTTCCCAGTCAAGAAATATGCAGAGCATTTTGGGCAGATTCAAATTCAAGCCGCTCATCTTGCTAAAATAATAGAATAATGATAATGTAAATAATAATAATATCTTTAATTGAAGGGGGTGTTGATTGATATTATTTTCAGATGTTTCCATAGAGTTACAATGAGAGTTACTGGTTGTCCAACTAGACAAGCTTCAGATTATCTATCACGTTGGCTAACTGAGAGGAAACCGGTGGTGCTACACTTCCACATATATTGCACCTTTAAGGAAGTTAACATTGACTATTATAAGAAGATCTCCGGTGTTGAAATATAAGATGCTTCGTACACTTATGGCCTGGTCACACCAGACACCTGACTACTTGTTGGGATGGCAAGCTAACCGCTAACAAGCGAGCAAGTTACGACATGCTAACACTAGCCAGTCCCAATATTTCCCAAAGCTTCTTTCTATTACCTTTGTGCAATGCCATTTACTTAACTCCTCCTTGGCATTTTTCTCTTGGGTTTTTACACCATTTAAATCGCCATTTCATATTGAAGAGAGAGAAAAAAACGCTCAGAGAAGCTAACCCGTTTACTAACTTACTTAATGCTTTGCTATTAAATGTAAATGTTTCATGGTATTTAAACAAGGACAGTCTCATAATGTTATTACTGTGGTGCTCACTGTCAATGTATTTCAATGAAAAGATGAAAGTGAGGTCAAACTTGACAGTTGCCATCCACATTGTTTCTTTCTTTACATCATGACTGATTAAGAACTCTGAAAGTAGTTGGCAGAGGGAATTAGGATGTATGAGTGTGTGCGGGTGTGTGAATGTGTTTATTGGGAGACAGAGGTTGACCGGGTAGTGATGCCTTCAAACCTGTTTCCCCATCGTTACTCTGAGCTCATTTAAGTCTAACCCTCCAGTTAAAGAAAGGTAACCTGACCCTCACCATGCACTTTAGGACAACCTTAGCTGGCGGCTTAGAGGAGCAGACGTCTAGCAGGCGCATGTGGCCCAGCCAGGGATGAGAGACGTATATGTAAGGGAGGACCGACGGCATGGGAACAATAGTGCCTCTGTGCCTCGGCACCCCTCTGGATCACATTTCCTCTAAGGTCCAGATCGAAATGAGGCGGGGGCCCTGTCGCTGATCTAGCAAGCGAGCGGAGAAAGCCACACAGAGGGGAGGGTGCCGTATGTCAATAGTGATTAGGATCACGATCACAACTGCGGCGGTTGTGGGGCACGAAGAGAAGGGAGGAAAAAGTGGGGGAGAAGGGAAACATTTCGCCTTCCTGAACTTTATTGTCTGGTTGCTGGTACTGAGGAATGTCTCCTGGATCCTAATACATTTAAACATAAAATAAATTTGTTTGGATTTCTTTAGAAAGTCTGTATGAAAGCTGAACCTTTCCAATTTCTTGATTTGTGGTTTAAAAGTGAAGAAAGGCAGAGAATTTCACGTGTAAATATGGTTTGTCTGCTTTAAGAAGTGACAACAAGAAGTGCGCTCGTCCTGCCTGTTTTATGCTCGATTCTAGATACACAGTCTGAAAACACTGGTGGGGAAAAAAATAAAATACTTCCACTTGGACTCAAGTTCCCAGCTCTTTACTGTAATTTCTTTGTCAGGCAATCTTAAGAAGAACCTGTTTGTTTAATCATTGCAATAAAACAGGGAGTGCTTCAATTCAATGCACAGGATATATTTTGATCCATTTGTGAATATTTAAGTGATGTATAATGCTGTTAAGTAAAATTGCACTCAGGTCGTCATTTTCTTTGTGGTTTTATGTGTTTCTACATTAAACAGTTGCTTCATGTTAGGAGGACGTTGATTTCAATATTAACAATTTTATAATGTCTATATTGTGCAGTGTTTGATGTACAACAACCACAGCACTTAAGGAACCGAAAACAATGTTTACACAAAGTGACAACCAGGCACACTCCTGCAACTGTGGGTAAAAAGTAACCACATGGAAAAGGCTTGTTCCTTCTACTCCATGTGACCTTTGAGCCGCATTCGTCAAAAATACAAACCTTAGGAAGTCAAAGTCAATCAAGGAAACCCGTGATTGCAGGATGGCCCAGAGACCCCAGAAGAAGTTTGATGCCTGGTGGAAGAGAAAGAAAAACAACTTGAAAGGAACACACTAGATGTTTTCATGCTTAACACCATTTATTACTGACTAGTTTTCAAAGCATTGCACTATGAAATGAAAATACATGACTTGCTTAGGATAATCCATAACAGTGGTCATGATTTTATTCTTGTCAAAATTGCTGAATAAAGCAGTTGAAGTATTACCAAATCATTAAATTAATGCACTATAGTGTGTGTGTGTGTGTGTGTGTGTGTGTGTGTGTGTGTGTGTGTGTGTGTGTGTGTGATGGGTACGTGATCTGTACCTATAATTGCAGTTCCCCTCTTTTGCAATTTTTTAAAATATAAAACACATTTGGAGTAAAATTCTGTGAAAAGACCTTAAAAGTAAAAAATAATTCTTGTTCTATTTTTGTTTTATTGAAATGACCGGAAAGAGAGGTCCACACTTGGTTGGAGCAGCTTGGTGGTCCACTGTGGGTAGTGTAGGAATGTATGTGTGTGTTTGTAGTCATGTTTTACTTGTGTTGTTGTGGCATGAATCTGTTTACACAGTGGGGACTCGCCTTCCTTATGAGGACAAAATGCATATCCCCATTACGTAAATCATTACATTTACATTACTTAGAGCAATAAAAACACACGTGTGTGCGTGTGTGTGTTATTAGCACTAGAGCCATAACATTATAGAACCCAATGTGATGCGTTTGCATGTTCAGTACAATTATTGATGTTGTCTGTAAAGGAATAGCAGCAAGAATGTGTGACTGGTCTGCAATTCTCCTGCACCCTTTTGATGATCCAATTAAAGCTTCCAAAGCACACTTCTTCTTGCCCTCCTGCAGGTCACGGTGGGGTCAGATGTCAGCGTCTTCAGCATGGCAAACGCTGGCTGATGGACTGAATATTAGCCAAATGAATGACAGACTTGTTAACTGCATGCAGATATAGTCCATGATACACCGTTAGGTCTGTACTGTGTTTCAAACGTGTATAACTCTGGATTATGTTTGCGGTATTTACACCATTGTGAAAATAAGTAGTGCAGATTGTTCTAAATCAAATATAACTGTTGCTGTATGGTTTCAACAACTTTGTTTTTCTTTGATGTTTTGCTACATTTCCTTGTGCCACAGAGCAGAACTGTAAAAACACACTTCAGTGACCTCCAGTTGTCGTGTTATAACTGCTCCCATAACTGCTGCTGCATGCCAGCGGCACGCTGCTAAGTCAGAATGACAAACCTCTGTATTGAATGGTTCCCTCCTTAATGGCTTTGCTCACTTAAGCTCGCAGACTTCCATGCCTCCATAAATTCCTGTTGTTCTCCACCCATATTGTAAATCTTCATGGTAGGACCACTAATAGCAAGTCCTAATAAGATCCAGACAGGCCTCTGTTCTGCGGCCCAGTGATATAATCACATTTTTATTTGATAATCAAATAAAGGGTGGAATGAAATACTTGAAGAGCAATGTGCGGTTATCCCTGTTTTTTTTCCCTCTCTCTGGCAGATGTTCATCTCTAATCTCTGTCTCGAGTTGGAGAGAGATTGAGCGTGTTTCCATTATGATTAATAACTGCTCTCCATTAAGAGAGCATTAGTCTAACACTATGCAGAGACCGTCGGTAAGAGGCAGCCATTGAGAAAAACGGAGATGGGAGAGTGTGGGCAGAGTGACATCACAGGCTTTAGCCACGACATCACGGGGGATCCCTGTGGAGGAGGCGAGTCGCAAAGACCCCACGGCGTCTTGGCACAGTTTGCCACGGATTAAGATTCGAAAGAAGCAGCTTCACACCGCAGAGCTTTGGCAACTGGCCAGGGACTGGATTCCTTGGGTTTGACTATTCATCTGTATTGTCATTTGATGAGCCTTAACTATAGTGGGAATTCAATGTAGTCTGATTATTCCAAGCAATTACCAAGAGAAGTGAAAGTAATACAAAAGTTACATTCCATAAAAAAGGGAATACAAAAAAAACATAAAAATATTAAAAGGAATCAGACTGAATTGATGATCATTACAGTTGATGGAATCTTTCCAAAGCATGTTACACCTTATCAACTATATAATCTGGTTTTAACAGATGTAATGAGAAACAATACAACCTTAGGGAAATCTGTACTGTGCAAATAAATAGTCGAAAATTGAGGGGACACAACTTCCGATGGAAAATGGATGTGAATAACGACTGATTTCATTAAACAAATATTCCAAAAATATTTTTTCTTGTTGAATCATTTGATTTTTAAATTGTCAGAAAATAGTGACAATTTCCCAATTTCCCAGAACCCAAGACGGTGTCTTGAAACCCAAAATCATTTTAATTACTATAATAGAAAATATTCAAGGAGCTGGAATGAGAAAATCGTTGGCATTTCTGCTTTACTATGCAATTAATCAATTATCAAAATTGTGGCACTTATCGTTTTCGTAAAACAAAATTTAAAAAAATGTAAAACCTTTTTTTAATATCATTAGGGAACTATTGGATATGTTTGATGTTTGGAGTATTTAGCTGTTTTTGTTTTTTTGTCCCGTGACAAAGGAAAACCAGTAATAAATGGCTCTCAGGAGGAAATTTAATTCAGTGAAGTATTGTACATAAACACAACATTTAGTCGGTAAAATGCCTCTTTTGTGTATATTTCTAAACGGAGAAGTTTCAGCTCAATTCCTTGAAATTATAGAGAATAGACCCTGTGATTTTCTCAGTTATCAGGCTGAGTATTCCTCATGTTGACACACGGCTCGGCAAAACGAGTCCAGTTGGAAACTTGGCTTGTTAAGCGTCAGTGATCAATTTCTCCCACTTCCCTCGAGTCAAGAGTCCTCCTCGGTTTGTCATAGAAAATCTGATTTCAATCAACCTGATGTTATCGCCTCTCTCACTCCATCCCAGGCTTCATTTCTTTCCCCGCCTCTCACTTCTCCCTCTCTGTTATTTTGGCCGAGGCACGACTTATTTAAAAAAAGAGTAAAATGCTTCCTCATCATTTCTGGGCTATTTCAAGAGACATTCACACCACCTCAAAATTGGTCAGGACAATTCTGCATATTGTGTTGAGCTATGAAAGCACTTTTAGGCAGATAGTCCAGCACCACTTGAGCCACCAAAGAATGAAAATTGTGGTCATAAGAAAAATAATTTTGGCTGCTGTCTTTCATTTTTCCCTGCGGCAGTTTCTAATCAACTCAGATGGAGTCCATCAAACTTTGAACAGTGGTGGGTCAGCCGTGGTTTGGGATTTTTTCTTTCTTTCTGGGAGCTGGAAAAGTAAATTGTTAAAATGTGATGGTGAGGTGTTGCCGCCCTGTCATTTCAGAGGTCTGCACACATATGGATATTGTTGAAACGCACACACTGATCTCATAATATTGAGATATTTGAAGAGCAGAACTTAAAAAAGGAAATAACTGTTTAGAGATTTGTCACTTTCCAAAGAGTTTCCAAAGTGTTGAGGCTCTACATAATGACATATTTCAACATTTCAACAAGATCGGTGGGAGCAGACACTTACCAGCGAGAATTTGCAGACTTGAATGTAGAGCTGCGTAACTTCTGCCTCTGTAACAGTGACCTCATGTCCTGTGCTGTGCTTGTAACTCTCCAGATAGGCCTTCAGCCAGTCCCTCTGCAGCTCCAGGCTCGGGTAGAGGCTGTAGTTCACATCATTCACACCTCAAAAAACAAAACACACATATGCACATACTGGTGGAACTACTGTCAGTGTTACAATTCAATACAATGCCTAAACTAACTGACAGTTTTGATGATTTGCCACAGACTGCATCAGCTCAACTCTTGAGTCAAAACTAGTGAGGTCCACATAAAATGTTCCAATTATTTGAGCAATTAAACATATATTGAGTTACAACAAAGAAGCAGGGGAACTGGACGACAGCACTTTCAGTTGAACACTGATGTTTACATCTTTGTGAGGTTGATATGGTGCAAATGAATAGTCAAAAATTCTCTGGACGTGATTGTCATTGTGCCAGTTCTGGCAGAAAGGGATACTCCAACTAATGATTATTCTCATGATCAGTTATTTTGAGATGGTTTTGTTTTGCAAATAATCCGTTGATTTAAAAATGTCAGATAATTGTGAAAAATGCCAATTCTGCTACTTTTACTTAAGTAAAGGCCCTGATGAATATATCCACCATCACTGCATACCAGAAAGAAGGATGCATGGAAATTGGATGACACATACAACATTTTCAGTTTGAAAACTGATTTGAAAGTCTTTAAGGGAGGGGTCTCAAACTCAAGGCCCGCCACGTCATTTTATGTGGCCCGCGAATCCGCCAGCAAAAAAAAAAAATTTAAATTAAAAAAAAAATGTAAAAGTTAGACATAACAAAAAGTTATGTCGAAATTCTGAGAAGTCTGTCATGAGAAATTATGAGATAGAAAGTCGAAGTTATGAGATAGAAAGTCATAACTGTGATAGAAAGTCATAATTATGAGATGGAAAGTCAAAATGATGAGATACTTAATCACAGAAGCAGCTCTTTGGCTGGTTACTGTACATTTGACATGGAAATGTATTGAGTACATTGAAGACTACTTTAAACGTGGCTTTACAACACATGAAATACTTCATGTGGGATTGTGCAAACGCACCCTTGAAAGGATTTTAAGCTTTGAACAAAGTTATTGTAATAACTTGTGTTTGATATTTGTCTTTGATATTTTCTTTAATAGTTTGATCTTTGATAGAGTAATGTAGGTTTCTTAACCCTAAATTAAAAGGATTTAAGTTATAATAACAGAAATGTGCTTAAATATATTTTTACATTTATATAACTGCATGTACAATATTTTTACACTTGAATAAACAATAATCAAATGCAGAGACAGTTATTTACCAATATGTTAGGAGTAGTTACATTTACAACCGGCCCTTTGTGGGCAACTATAATGCTGATGTGGCCCGGAGTGGAAATGAGTTTGAGACCCCTGCTTTAAGGGATCTGTATGGTGCAAATAAGGGAAAATTGCTTTTGCAGTTTCGATAGTTGACTGCAGTTTAGATGTTGCTCTCATTATCAACAGGAACAAAAAAAGGGATTCATGTGCTTTCACTAAAAAAACATACAAACGATTGTTTGCCTTTTTGTGCTTGACATTTGGGTCACTCGAGCCACAATTTAACCTCATCATAATTTAAGGATTGGACCAAGTTTGCGCAGTTGACAGGTGCTCTCATGAAAGCTGACATGATATGCTTCATCAAAACTATCTTAAAAGTGATAAATTGATGACTGTTCCACAAACGTTCAAATGAACCCTTTGCTGTGACACAGCTGGTCCATCAAAGACACTTTTAATCACCATGCAGAACACACACTGAATATAGCAATTTGTCTTGGCAGCATCAGAAGAGGGACGGTTTCATGGAACATAATGGCAGAACGATAAAATGATATCGTAGTCGAAGAGACAGGACAAACTGGACAATGATTCTCCACACCACTTACTGTATATCCAAATTATACTTCACTCAATATCCCACATGAGGCAATCTGATATGTTCTGGCAATGAAACAGATTTGGAGGCAAATTGAACTCCTTTTCATCACAACACAGACCTACCAGCAAATTCATTGAAGTGATTGCCAATATCGAAGGCCTGGTAGTTGTAATCGGCGTACTCGTAGTCAATGAATTTCACCATTCCTGATGGAGGAGGAGAGGGGAAAGAAAGAAGCAGCGGTTACCAGGACAACATGAAGAACACATCTTAGGTATGGTTGTGTATCTGACAACTCTCCTTCCTTTTATTCAAGTACAGAACCTTGTGGGAGTCAAAGGAACAAGGAGTCTCATTTGACGGAGAGCCACCCTGGGCATCCTTGTAAAATATGCGAGATGAATTAAATCCCGGTAAAAGGATACGACAAATAAGGTAAGACATTGAATAAATTGGTGCAAAGGTTCACCTCTCTATGCAAAATAGAGGGACGAGGTATGAATACTCTGTGAGCTGCATTATTTCAACCCGATGAAAAGAAACACCTTCATCATTATTAACATTAGCCTCAGTAACAGACTGCGACCCTTCAATCGCAGAGCTACAATTAAAGTTTAGCATAATTCAGTCAAATATTCTTAACAGTATTCAGTTTCCTTTATTGCCTCTGATTGATGGTCTGCCACACTAGCTTACTAGCTCAGTATAATATGCACCATGTTTTCAGTGCCAGTGATGTGCACTGCTGTTGCTCACCCTCTTTGTGGTTGTAGATGATGTTTTTTGTCAGAAGGTCGTTGTGGCAGAGGACAGTCGGCGAGTCAATCTGCGAGAGGTGTCTCTTCAATGACTCCATTTCAACTGACAAAGTCTCAAAGCTGGGCACCTCTTGTAGAGTCATGGGACTGTAAAAGGCAAAATCAATGAAATTACTTTTTTTCCTTTTTCTTCGCAAGAGGCAAGGCAAGATTGTCTGCGAGGAATGTTTCATGAAAGCGTGGGTGTCTTTGCTTCGTAGGCATTTGGGCACATTGTCGGTCCAGTTCAACATTCGTGAATACCAACTTTGCCAGTGTGTGTGATGATGTATCTACAAAAGGCTGCAAAAAAGACAAGAGCTTCAGCTTTTAGTTTGGATCACTGCAGCTGACAAATACGCCACCAGTGACTTTCATTTAGGAAAAACATTCACATGACTTTTGTTATCATAAGACAGGTGTCATCATTATTGAGCAAATATCCAATATGGTCAGCTTTGTTGGTACAACTTTACAAACATCCACTATAGGGTTTAACTAAAAGGGCAGTTTAGTTCCACATTTAATTTAAATAAATGTTTTTGTGAACACCCTTTGCTTCTTTGCATATCTACCTGCAACCCCAGTGGCTTATTGCACTGTGAAGTATTGACTTTCACACATTGACAGTGGTGAAAGAGGTTTTTCACATTTTTGACTGTAAAGGTACAGAAGTATTATCAGCAGACTGTACTATAGGTGTCAAAAGTAAAATAACATACCCCTTATTACGTTGTTAAATATTATGTTATTGTAATACTACTGATGCATTAATGTGGAAGTAATACTTTGCTGTTATAGTTGGATGAACTGGAGCTAATTTGAACTACCTTTTGGGTAGTTCAACCCTTAGCAATATGTCAAATAATAGCATATAAGATGATCATGTGTTTTGTTTGACAGTCACACGTCAAACATATTATATTTTGCTCTAAAAGCTGTTGAGAAAAGTACATTCTTAACAATTAAAGCATGCCTCATTGTAAAGTGGTACTATTATGTCCTTTTCTTCTTCAAATGTTATTGTAAAGGCTTAATCCAACCCGGAATTTCCCCTCACACATGGTGACTCACCTGCCTTTAAGAATTGTTCACTCTAAAATAATTTGAATTGTCTGGCTTTCAGCAGTGTGTTAGTGTCCTGTTGTGTACTGTAAATGCTGTTTCAGAGCGTTGCCAAGCATTGAGAAACACAGACTTCATGCAATTCTTGAATCTTAAAATATTGATCTTCAGAAATCCTCATGAGTTAATGGAGTTTTTGAACATTTGATATAATATCTAAGGAAAGTGTAGAGCAGCTGAGGGAAAATCATCTGAAATGAACTTGTACAAATGAAGGGAAAGAAATGCTTTCATGACGCAATTGTTCGGGGGAGTACATCTATGTAAAACCAACTTTGTCCCAAATTCCACACTTTTCTTCTCGGAGCAACATGTTTGTAAACTAAAGCAGTTCGACGTGCCTCATTGAGAGGTCACATGCCTTGTTTTCACTCCATTGATTGCTCGATCTATCAAAGATGGCAGTAATGTCCTTGGTCGTCAGTGCAAAAATGCACCTGGAAGAAATGCTGCGCAAGCATCCGTCTCCGAATTAATTTCCGTGTTTCCTTTTCAGTCGTCAGGTCACGATAAGAGGGTAGTTTAAACAGTGTAGTTTAAACACTACCTATTTATTCCTTGGGGAACAAACAGATGCTCCGGTATTATACACACTTGTAGACATAATTTAGTGAGGCCTGTTAGGAACGCACAATAAAAGCAGAAGAGCGGGGCCTTGTTTATAGTCATGACACAGAGGCTCTGCTGCCTAATTCAACTCCACCTACACATCCTCAACAACACAAGTCATTTTTGTATCCCTCATTCATTCAGTTCTCCTTCCTACAGGGGATAGACAGATCAATGGATTGATTGAATACAAACACCTTGAGATCTATTAATCATTGTTCCTGCAGAAAAATACGCAAAAACACATGTATATTCTTTTTAAAATATCTGCTTGAGTTTGGACCTTTTTAATATCTTATTCTACTTAAATACTGCAAATGCTGTAAACTACTTTCCAAATAGCAATTTCGGAAAATCTCGGCCAACAAAATAGCTGTGAGGAGTGTTTGATTCACATCTCCTCGCCTATGAGATCTTTCTCTAACTTAAAAACGACCCCCTCTGACATGCATAATTTATCTATCGCCTCTCTAATATGAATTAAAAAACACATCTGAATGGTGAATCACCCTGATTCCTTTTCAACCCATCCATGGCTTTAACTTAACAAACTGACTTTTACCATAGAAAACCTGCGATTACTCGGGAGTCAAAAGCTAAATGAAAGACTTTCATTGACTTTAAATGGAAACCTTTCGTCTTGCCATCAGATCTTTTCCTCTCTCTTTTCTGTCCTTTTCATGGAAAACAGTTTGTCAAGTACATTTGCCTCCTGCTCCTTGTCAACTCTCTGTAAGGTAATTAGTGGAATTTCCTCCTCTGGCGCTTCATTATCAATGTGCCTTATTTACATATGATTTCAAACACCAGCCGAGCACTGATTTTTTTCTTTCTTTCTTTTTTTTTCTTTCCTTTTTGCAGTTTTATGCGATTCGCGGGAGTGCAAACGGGAGACGTAGCAGGGGGCCTTTGGGAGAAGAAGAGGTTGCACTCTTGCCTTCCATTGCCTTTCTCTCTTTTCTCTCCCATCTCTGACTTCTACTGTGCACTCCCTCTCCGAACCTTGCAGCTGCTGCAGCCTCTTTCGCTCTCTCTCTCTCTCTCTCTCTCTCTCTTCTTCTCTGTATCTGTCTCTCTCTTTGCACAGCGGGTGGCTTGAGAGCTGAAGACCTCCTCTGCAGGTGCAGCCACTTCCTGCTCTCTCTCTCTGCCTTTCTTTTACCATTTCCTCTGAAGATCACATTCATACCAGCACTCATACATTCTCAAATACAAAAGTTTCTCTGATGCCTGTTTAAAATCACTTTTTTTTTTTTCATTCTTGGTCTCCTCTGTCTCTGCTTCTGTGTGTGTGTCTGTGTGTGTGTGTGATATCATTCATGCAGTTGCACATTCAAGAGACCCGCATATATGCAAACAGACTAACACACACACACAGGTTTTAACCATGACTTAACCTCTTAAATCTCATCTGTTAGATCTTTCAAATGGAGTTCCTTTAATCACTCCAAATCCAAATCCTAATTATTAACATTTTCCTGGTCATTTTGAGTTCCTCTGTGCGGCTGTGTTTGAGTGGCAGTGGACTGTGTCAAGCCCCTCAGTCACACAATTGTCTCACAATATAGCACCATCTATTGGGCCTCTGAATGTGGTGCAGCTTCTGTAGATGACCATTACAGTGAGTAATGTCCTGATTCATCCATACACTCATCACCTTTTGTATCACATCGTATACAAAGTCATCCATTGTACAAATCAGGAGTTGTATTTAGTGATACTCCTATATGTCTGCTGTGTGTGAAACGGAAGTTTAAAAGGGCAAAAGGAGTTAAATGTAAGATGTAATGTTAATAAAACCAAAATCTTCACAATCTCTTGAGACGTTAAACAATGAAGCTGGGCTCCATTTCACTCTATGTGCGTTACGCTGGCAGTGTTTCCTTTTATGTTGGTTGAATTTCCAACATAATGTCAAATTCAAAGATTGGACGGAATCAATATTTTTCTTTATCTTGCTCCAGGTAAATTAAGGTTATTTTAGTGCATTCAACATAATCATATGGCTAAAAGTACAATCATTATTATCTTAAATTGATACTGTCTATCTCGTAGTAACAAAACAAAACAAAACTCAGTTCCACAGGGTTTCCTCCTGGAGCAAAGCAGAAAATGACAAAAATAAATCTTTGGGTGTTTTATGGGCTTAGTAAGGGATGTGCTCTAAAATGAATGGATTTATAATGAAAGAGTGGACAAACCAGAAAATACAGACATAAAAAAGAGAGTAGTTGCTTGTGTCTCGTCTTCCTGATGACAAAGAAGTTCACTTCGACCTTTGTGGGACTTTTGTCTTTCTGAATCCAGAAAGCTTAAACTCCTTATCATTAACGTCTCCTCCTCCGTCCCTTTCTTTAATGGATGACTTTAATGGAAACTCAAAGAAGAAACTGTTTTTTTAAAAAGCAACGCAGAGACTCTAGGCCTGCCAGCTTCAGTTTGCTTGGACTTCCGACCCCTCCACTGCATACATAAACAAGGTTGAACGTTTGACAGATAAGGGAGAGCTCTGCAGGAAGCTTGTGGACGAGCGTCTGTTTCTTTGTAGTGTCTGGACGGACCCTCTCACCTCTCAGCCCGTGACCCCTGTCAGAGATAATGCAATGTCACTGCCACGGAGGCCCCTCCCCCGTCTTGTCCCTGTGACCAATGAAAGCTCACAGAGGCCTCTATCCCCAAGGTTGGGGAGGTGAATGTGCCATTTGAGTACAAGTTGTTGTTCAGTTAATTGAAAGACAATGTTATGTACGGGTGGAGAGGAACACTGTGGGCAGATTTGAGAAATGTACATATTTGGCATATGAAAAAATTACAAGGAATCAGTGGAAGTGCAGTTGCCTAACAGATAAAGATGTGGAAAATGTTGCTGGTTTCTATCGAATGGATGAATGCAAAAAACTACCACTGTGATATTTTACCACCGAGGTAGCCTCCAAGCAGCAGCTCAATAGGTATTTGTTTTAAACTGAGGTAATCAGCTCTTTGTTCTCCCTTAGTTACTCTTGCTAACCTACAGTTTCCAATGATAAAGTTTCCAGTTAATGACTCTGAAACAATGCATTCTTAGCACTGTTGGTATGAAGACAGTTTGCCAGACATACCAATGTTTTCAATTGATATGAGGGCAGATAAACACAACGATTAATCCAGTCCCTTCACTCATAGACTTCTATACAATGAGACTTCTTTTTGCATTGAGAGGAGACGCCCACTGATGGCCATTATAGACGATGCAAGTTTAAGGCACTTCTGCACTCTTCAGATATATTAAACACACAATAAGATGATTTTGTCAAGGGCTGTACCTCTTTGTGCAGCGCTTTGAAGCCGGGTTGCTCTGCATCAGTGTCAGAAAGTGGGACATTTTTGTCCAGAGAGGAGGTTCAACAGGCGGACCACAGTTTGGCTGGATGGAGTGGATTATCCCAATCTCTGCTGCGATCAATCTGCGGAGAGAAAACATTTTCTCAGATGAGCCTGGCCGACGCTGTTATTGCACAAACAACCATTATCAGAGTAGAAACACAACTCCCTTTCCATTTAGCGCTCTTATCTTGTTCTTCTTCTCAAAAAATGGGCCTTGTTGCATTCGTGACCTTTTGACTACTTGAGTGCTCGATCTCGAGGCATCTTAGCCGTGACATACAGTTTTCTGGGTATTCCCCACAGAGGCTATCAGGCGGAGCAGGGTTGATTGATGTGTATCGTGGCCTCGGCTGTTCAGCCTTGGCTGGCTGTGTTGTGTCCTACTGTCCTGTGGTGAGAATAATGGTGCTGGTCTGTTATCGCCGGGATGACGAATGAACCCGGGGGCATGACTAAACAACATTGCTCAAGATGAAATATGACTTAAATAATTAAAAAAGAAAAGCACCTGCATCAGCACAATGGAGATGCCCAACACACACACACAACTGTTGCCTTAGAAAACATAAATGGTTAAGGTTTCACATTACTCTCAATAAACCTGTTGCATTTTCAACAGCTTGACCAGTAAATGGACCTGGAAATAATAGCTATCAGCATGTATTACCTATTTTATTGATGGCATTGTATGGCAGCCTTCATACTATATGCAACGGTGGTAACAGTTATGTCTTAACTTATATATTATATTTAAACTTTTACATTTTGAATAAGTAGTCTTGTTAAATGATAAAAATCAGCAATTTTATGATACATTATTACACATTGGTTTCATAAATTGATGTAATAATACCTAATGCATTTGACTAGAAAAGTCAGTTGAATGAAGGAAATCTTCATAGCAAGTACATGAAATATATATTTCAAACAGTATAGAGGGTTCAAATGTATTGCTTAGGGTCCTTTGATTTAGATATTTCATAGAGTGCTTTTATTTTGAAAATTTAAACCTGTAATGACAGTATGATTTATTTTGCCTTTATTTGTTCAAAAACTCAATCATTTTCGTAGGCAAACTTAGTGGTAAGGCTGATCCTCGTACCATTTTTGAAAAGTCATAATGTGAGCATGACTTGTTTTGATTATCATCATATTGCAGTTTTCAGTGAATCAGGAAATTCCCAAAAAAGCACAAACATGTTCTCAGCACATTGTCTCTGATAAAATCAACTTTGTAAAAGAAATAAATCTAAATCTGAAAGCCGTTTCAGGCAGAGACCTGTAGATGGAAGGTTGCCGGAGCAGCTTATCATCCAGCACCGTTCCTCGAACAAACTCGTAGCAGATGCCATTCTGGAAGGTGCAGTAGATCTGTGGACCACACCCGTGGGCGTGGAAGACCTGGAACATCTCCACCTCGCGGTCCCGGTTCACGTAGAGCTCCGTCATTCTGCCGTACAGACGCACCAGAACACAACCGGGCTCCTGGAGAGAAGCCACGAAGCAGCCAATCAGCTGGTTGGTGATGCCTTCTGTGAATGTCTGAAAAAATATATTTAATTTAAATTAGTTGAAAGAGGAAAAATACAGTTTATCAGCGTTGTGCAAAAAGTAAACTACAGAAACTGAGAGCATTTACTGTCATAATCCAGTCCTGCTCCTAGGTTTATGTTTTTCTTTTGCTTCAATCATTCAATCATTCATGTTTGGTGTTTCCTGTTTTATTTTATCACTCACCTCTCCTCTTGTTCCCGATCACTTCACTTCCTGCCTTTGTGTGTTCTCCCGCCAGTTTTGATCTGCTGCCTCGCCCTGATTAGCTTCACCTGTCCCTCGTTAGCCCCACACCTGCTCACCTGTTCTCACTCTGTCAATTAGCCTGACAGACGGAAACTGATCACACCCTTTCATGGGTGTGATCCATGTCTGAAAAGTAGCTGGTAACTATGGCAGTGAAATAAACGTAGAATTTTTATTTTTCTTTGAACTGAAATGGAGTAGAAGTATAAAGTAACATTAAAACATCTAAATGTACGTGGTTACATGACAGTTTATGTCATACTTATGTTATATCTATTGATTAAAATATGTACCAAAAGAGCAAGGTGAAAGTAATGTTTCAGTGAAAATATTGTAACATATGATATATATAGCAAGATAATATGCAAGGATGGATTACCAACTGTGCAGAGCGGGTAACAAGGAGCCCTGACTCCCATGTGCTCCCAAAATGTCTCAGGTTCACCTGTCCTATCAGGTGTCAGGTGGTTTTTGGTCTTTTGACTAATGGAGTGCTGCAGGGATGACGTATTTTTGTAGGCCAACCTTGGAAGTTAGTGTTGCACTGGTTCCCTCGACATTTTTTGGTTGGATTTTGGAAAATTGCAGAAAATAATATATTTAAGATACTTTTTTTTAGCAAGATAATCTTTACAAATCAAAACTTTCCCTTTTTTGATTTTTGAAGCGTGGATGGAATCACCAGAAGTAAAAAGCAAACATTCGGCCACAAACCGCACGAGTGCAAGTAAACACATTTAGCCTAATTTAACAACTTGTTAGCAACCGCCTTTTTAAAGATACGTAAAAGCTTAAAAATTGAAGAGCGGAATTTACTAACGTATTTTATATCGTAGAAGAAAATGTTGGAATCTTTTAAGCTTGTGTTAACCACATACCTTATTTCAGGCATCCAATCAAAAACCCATTAAAAAAAAACATCGACTTCAATGCGAGGGAACCGGAAGTGCAAAAATGTTAATTCACTTCTAGGTTTCATGACTCATTCCTGCTGCACTTTATTGTAAGAAAATTCACACTACTGCACTATTAACCAAGACGGGTCCTGCATTTTAGCTAATGTTGTGGCCTTGTCTTATAGAGGGACTGTGTGTCTAAAAAAATGATATAGAAAAATGGATGTAAAATGAAACACGCATAGACACAGGTACATGCAACAGTAATAAGACACAGAGCTGTAGACAACTGCAGCCTGAACTTGTTGACTTTAACGATCACACTTCCAGCGCAGCCTGTGCTGCCCTGTGTGTGTAAACAACAATACCACAGTGACCACTGTTTGCCTGCAAAGGCACCATGGGACATTTGTTGTCATTCAGTGGTTTCTCGAAGTCTCTCATTCTCTGCCACAGTCTCCATGGCATTCTGTGAACCTCAGATGGGCCCTGCACACAGCGGTTTTTCATTTAGATGGAAAGTGAACAAACATGCCCACCTTGACATCGGATCAAGCATTTATATAGTGGACGGCGGGCCACTTGGTTACTTTTCACTGGCTTGGACATTGTTATCAAACTCCCTTTGTCTCTGATTTGCACACATTACCTTTATGTGAAAGTTTTTCTGATGTACTGCGTTTTATTTGATGTATAAATCACTCATTGTCATTTGAAAACAAAAACTCACGTATATAGAGATGTACATTACAGCATGTGTATCTAAACTGCTTATATACAGTACAAGTGCTAAAAGAAGCCATGCAAACACTTGCCTCTGAATTTATAATTCTTTGTCTTTTAAATACATTTTAATTATTTATTTTGTGTGAACCCCTTTTGACATTGTCTCTTTCAGTTTTTTTGTCTTGTTTTCCTTTTGTTTTTTATTTCTTTTGATGTTAACGTGCATGTTAAGCACTCAAATTGCCTTGAATTGTATCTGTTGTTTGTAAAAAGAGAGCAAAGGTGAAACACAAGATATAACAAAGTAGTTTGAAAAAACCTCGCATACAAAACAGTTTAAAGCACAGGTGTAAGAGGAACTATATGTCCTTCCTTGTGTAGTCTGTATATTCAAACATATGAACACAATACATCATTGGATTTGAAAGGAAACATCTACTCTTTTGTGTACACTACTGGACCTGCTGTAGATTGAGAGGTCACCCACCAAATGTGCTGTCACCAAACAAACATAAACCCTATTTCTCTGAAAGATTGGACCTCGTGTTTGCACATGGGACCAGAATGGGATTATACTGTTCTGAACAGACTACACACTACACATCTGTTTCCAGGGTTGACATAATAAAAGGGTCTACTTCTGTTGTCCAGTTACCTTGCCACGACTTTCCATTTTAAAGCATATAGATGGCGATATTTGTTTTTATTGTCAACAAATCCCATGAAAAGACCAGAACCAACAGTGTATTAGTCTGTCTCTCAATACTATCTGATTTTCCCAGCCTGTGGCAACCAAGTCTTCAGAGAAAATGTTGGTATTCTACGTGTCTGTAACCACAGGAGAAGTTGAATGTTTCATTCATACGTTACATCAGCCTTGTATCTTGCTTGCAGAAATGAACGTTGTGGTTAACGTTGTCAAATTATTGTTTAGTTTTAGGCTTGAAAGCTACTTGGTTAAGGTTAGAAAAAAGATCCTGGTTTGTGTTAAAATAACTATGTAACTGGCCTAAATAACTATCTATACTGCACTTTTGTGGACATTTCTATTTGTAACATTATGCAACAAGCGAGAACAATGTTACGTAACAACCGGTCAAAGTCCTGTGTTTCATTGATCATTGTTATTATACCACGTAATTTCCATACCACGTATTTTTCAGCAATGGTTACTGGACATATACGTCACTGCTCTGTGCATTGCTTACTGTCTGACGTAATTTGCTCGACCGAATGCAAACACATTGACATTTTTCGTATCCGTGGTTTGCAGAAATGCCAACATTTTTCTGGCCAACTGGTTCCTGCAAAAGACATGCCCCCAAATTTACTTACATTTGTGTTAAATGCAAAATTTTGTCCTAAAACAGCTGGGCTTTGTCTTTTTGGCAAACGTTGCTGAAGACAGATGAAAATAGAGCTCTTGGTGGTTAACGATTTACAGCAGGAAGGTGTACATGGGATCCATTGAATGTAAGCTGCAGTCCATGTTCATCATACCATAGGAACACTGTATATATATGCAGCCACTTTTTATTAATCAGTCTGTTAACTCACACTACACTTTAATCTGCCTTTCTGCATGGCCTGAACCTGCAGCGTTCCTCTGCTCACAATGTACAATGACATTTTTTTTTTTTCAATAGACGATTACAGTGAAGCTTATTCAAACAAGACAACAACCACAACTATATCCTCAACAATGTTGACGAAAAGAGATTAAGGTAGCATTAGACCCTTTTTGTGCAATTTAAATAAGAGGAAAAATATGGTGCTCTGGGTGGCTGGAAAATGCAGACAATATGGTCTGTCTGTTCTGCACTCAAGTTCAGTTTTATATTGCAGCAATCTCAGTCAAAACTGCAGTTTGTAAAATACTACTCCGATAATATTAAAACAAGTTCACAAAGGTTTATGAAGGATCTTTCGAAAGCAGCCGTGAGGGAAATTGCACTGTGGAACTGCTTAAATTGCAGTAACACAAAGGGTGAAACAGCATGAATTGAGTTTTATATTCCCTGTGAAGACTAGAACCTCATTGTGATTCTACACTTTAACAACTTGGATGTTTTATGAAAATGAGTGTAGGGAGAAAATATTGAATTTAAAGTTTGACCATCTCTACATCTTTTTTTTTTTGCTTCTCTTTCATCCACGCAGCATTTTTTCCTGAAGATACTAAACAAACACGATTGGAAAGACAGAAACTATTTGCAAATGTCACACTGACATGTGCTGTGTTGTCATGTGACATATCAATGTGACATTCAACATCTAAATTAGAATTAGGGTTGCACAGTCCAACCCTGTCCCCTACAAAATGACTTTGGCATACTACTAATATGCATTCTCAATTACGCTTCGAGGGAAATGTATTTTATAAACTGTTATAAACATGCGGTTAGCATTGAAAATTGAAACAAAAAAAAGGAATCAATACTACTTGGGTAGGTTTAGTGAAATGAATTAGTAAAAATGGTTTGTCTTCAAATTATTACATTTGTTACGTTACATACATTTAAATAAGTTAATGTTAAATTTTGGTTACACATGGAAAGTGCGCTCTCTTGGGATTAAGTCCTGTGTAAGATTGACCTGTCCATCACCCCAACCTGCTCTGCATGCAGACTATCATTAGAAACCTATTTGTGATGCGTGAAAAACAAATCCACATCTATAAGTTTCCCTTAAAAACTAATTCAAATACAGTTTCATTGTTTTAGGATTAAGGGCTGCACATCCGAACAGATGCAGTACATTAAAGTGAAAGTTGATAGTGAACCTATTGTAACAATAACGAGGTTGAGTAAAATCATTAGACTATATAAACAAATTATCATAATGCATCCCAACCATTCTATGTGTAAACACTTGCTCAAGATGTCTAAAATTTAGAGATCTGCCGGACTTGGAACGTCATCATCATAACCCCAAATAATGAACCACAAACCTTTCTTTACAAAGTGGTGCACATAAGAGATGAGCATTAGTTCCCCTCAGGTATGGAAAAAATGTGTGAAGCTCAATCCGTATAATACGGGGTGATCAAGTCAAAAGAACAGACGCTTATCCGAATAAGCTTCATACAACCAACCAAGATACAATCATGGATACATGGTACTATATAATAATATAATATGAGAATACAACGCATTTTTTATCGGCCCAGTTGCGAGGAAAAAATGGTGTACATTGTACGTATGTTGTGCATTGTATGTTACGGTAAACCACAAGATACGTTGAATGTGGATGTCTTATGTAGTACAGCGAGCAACGCACAAAGCAGTGACGTAGAGCAACCTTTATGGAAAGTTACATCTTATATAATAACGAGTATAACAACTAACAAAATCCACTAAGGCGGGCAGCAAGGGTTAGTGGACGGGTCAATCAAACAGGATTGTTATCAAGAAGAACCTGGTGTCCCATTTGAAACCAAAAGTAAAGCATTGACTTTACGCTTGTTACGTGAAGTTACGTAACGTTGTTAAGTAATGTTACATGCAAAAGTCTGCTCAAGAAGGTTGTTGTTTATTTACAGTAGTTATACTGTTAAGTTACTTTTTGTTACATTTGTTACGAATTTCAAATAAAAAACATTGTCTTTTTTCTAACCTTAACGAAATAGTTGTGTTGCTTAAACCTTGCCAATCGTTTCACAACTTTAACCATGTGGCATTGTGCGTTTTTTTGCATGGGATGTATGAGGCGGATATGAAATGTATTTATGAAACGACATTCAATGGATAGCGTGGTTTGCAGAAATGCACAATGCCAACATTTATTCTAGCAACTGGGTTGCTTTTACAGTCGTTATTGAATCCCATAGACACAAACATTCACTTGCCTTCATATGAATGTCCTTTGCCTTCCAATTCGGACGGAGTCTGCTGAGGAGATCCAGAATTCCTCTACGAGGTTCATGCTCATCAATTTGGAGGTCCACATGGAGAAGCTGATTCCCAGCACAAGCAAACCGACTGTTCATTTTCAACAAAGCAGACGTGAAGTCTTGGATTTTCCCTCCAAAAGTTTGAGGTCTAGAACTTGTTCAGAAACTTTTGAACCAGAGTCTCACTCTGTTGGAAGACCATCAAAACATCCGCCAATGTGGGTTTGATCTTAACAATAAAAATGAAACAGAACAAACTTGAATGAGGTAGAAAAGTCTTAATGATGGTGATACAATACACAACAGCACTCTGGCATCTGTTTCTGTCACAATAATTCGAGAGCCATGCGTGGTATTTGCCGGTCAGTCAAATTGTCCACTTGTGTGTCCAGTGACTCAGCAGTCCGGCTTGCTTATCGGGGGCCAATGTTCCTATGGGCATCTTCATCCTCACTCCTACAGTTTACATATTAACCACCGGTGCTTCGAGCTCTGCTGCAGCAGGATCATGTAGTGCTAAACAAAATTAAAGGAGAAGTCATTGAGCTTCAGTAAACCTCTTCTACTTTTATGTACTTACTCATTGAACCAAGCTAAATATAACTGAATATAATAATGTGAAATTAAAAAAATACTAAAAGTCACTGAAGATGAAAATAAATCCCCTTTATCTTTCTTGTAATTGCTACTATGCAGTGTTCATTTTGGCAGTTTTTTTAGTGTTTCAGAAAAAAATGCTCTTAAATTCTTCTCACATATTGGTAATTTTTGTCCTTCATAGTTGTAGACTAGTAATAGTTGACAACTCAGAACATTATAATCCAGTTTTTGATCATGCAAAGGTCATCCCATTTAAGTAATCACTTTTGGTCAAAATGTTTACCTTCTGGATTTACTCCGATCATTATCTGAAAACAAGCAACAGTCCTATCGATAATTACTGGGAACTATTCGATCATTCTTTGAAGACCTTTAAACTTATTTCATCATTTTTTCGGCAGCAAAGCCAGATCTGGGTGTATCCAGATGCAGTGTTAGTTGAAGGAGTTTCTGGTGAACCTCCATGATTTCATCTGATTTCACAAGAATCCAACACAGTGGAACCAATGACCAGCGTTAAGAACAACTACAGTATATAGAAATAACCAATCTTCTCACTGATGCTCGTTTACTGATGAAGGTCATATCGAGTCATCAGTATTAAATTGAGACTGTTCACAACTAGTTAAAAGTTCCTCATAGTAACTTTAAATAAAACAATACACATTTTGCAGTGTACAATCAATTGCAACACAATAATGAAGGCTTGGAATTAATTAACTTGTCATTATGGGATGTCTGTAATCTGTTCAAACAGCCACAAAGTGTCCAAATTGAGCTCAGCACATTTTCTCTCCAGAAACTGAGCTCTCTTTGCAGTCAATTTCAGCACAGCTCTCTGATAATAATAATTTTCAGATGCATTACATTTGGCTGAACCAGCAGAAGACTTTAAATGGGTGGAGTCTATTGTCTGACCCGAGTCACCGTGTAATCTAGAGGACCCATTTAAATATCATAGAATTAGTTCATACAAACATGACCTTCCATGCAAGCTCAATGCCATGGAACATTTCAACATGATCACTCTATAAACACAAAAATGCATTTCATAAACATTGGAGCAGCATGTTTTCAGTCTGTTAAATTATTTAGATGTTGGGCCAATGTTTACCATTTTGCATCATTACAGTAATTGCCTAGAAGTCACGAATGTGGTGATCATCTTGAACCAAATACTTTGCAAGCTTTTAGACGAAAATGAAATTCACTTGCCTTCAAAGAGAGTCTCATCATCAAAGATGTTGTGTATTGAAAGAGAGATGAGTGTCTCGATTAAAAATGTAAGGGTCAGGCGGTAGAATGGAGTAGTAGAGTCAGTGTTTGAGTTACTGGGCGTACCTCTGAAGTACAGCTGAGCAAGAGGGCTGGTTGAAAGAGAGATGACAGACACAATAACCCAGGCATGCATACATATACTGTTTTGACACTCTTAAGACAGACTCACTTACTGTATGTCTGGCTTCTCTTTCTTTCTTGTTCCTCCTGATTGTTAATGTAGAGAGTACAGGCATTAACATTAGGGCCTTTGAGCCTTGAAAATTAATGATTTATGAAAGGATCAACAAAGTACCAGTTGTGTCGAAGACAGCATGAAAGAAACTCAAAACTGAGTTAATGTTGCTGGAGTTTCGCTTGACTTCTTGACATTTTCGAGACTATGAGTCTTTATCCCTCAAGTCGTTTAAGCAGTGGAACCACGAGCTATATCTATTCAACTAAATGCGGAAAGAAAATAGAGTAGGGGGAGAATAAAGGAGAAGAGGATCGGAAGATTTCATTATTTACAGATATTTTGTTGATTAAGGATCATATGTCTTTACTTTTCCTTCTGGAAACTGCTACATAGCACTTTCCAAGATTTCTGGATAAAGAATCGATTTCATGGAGACATTTAACTCAAAACCATAAATGTGGACTTCATGGTGGCACTATAGAGGAAAAGTAAGGGGATCATTGTATTAAATATGATTCATCCTCTGGATAGAATAACAAAATAAAACAATCGATCCAATAGTTATGCAAAAGTATGTTTTTCCCTGGATAAGTGAAAACTTTTACCTGTTGATGGCGTTGGATGAAAGATCAGGGGATCACCAAACATTATTAGTATTCATCCTGCGGGGACCATGAATATCTTTTTCCTAATTTCATTACAATCCATCCAATAGTTAAATACATATAGATGTATAGAAATTGCACAAAAAAGCTAAAATGTCAACTTCATGGCAGTGCTAGAGAAAAATTGCATCTTGGTTTTGATGAATTGAAGTGTCTGTAATATAAATTGAATTTCAGTGATGTTTGAAGATGCAACTTAAAAACTGTAAACGGAATAAGAAATATGTGATGAGGTTTTTTTTACACCCCAAATAAACAACAACAACATCTTGATAAACTAGCAAGAGTAAGCTTGATTTTTAAAATTATCCAACGAAAAAACCAAGCCCAGTGTTGCCAACTCTTTTCCAATCAGAGTAGCTAGCATCATCAGCTTCAAAAGTAGCAAAGTCTCGGGAGGAGTTGCAAATTCGGCAACACGGACAATGATTTTGTTTCAGCTGAATCGAATGATCGGATTGGCTTATTACAGACCTGTGACAGCCACAGATAGATATCTGGCTTTTATTATTATTGATTGCTGTTGGGATTTAAAGAGAATTTCAACAAAAATAACAAAATATGTTTTCAAGGAAAATTACCAACCATAGCTTTAATGTTACAAACTCTGTTCTGAAATTGATACTGGTACTTATGACAACTTGGCAGTTACATACATAAAATTTGGTTTGTGAAGCAGGGAGGGAAAACGGGGCCATTTATTGTAACAAAGCAATGTACAAAAAAAAAAAAAAACAATTCGAAAATCTATTGTTCATTGATTTACTTACCTGAGATTGTGTTGTGTGGGTGTGTCCAGTATACAACCATTATGTGTCAGGACAGTGCATGGAGGAGGACCTTGATCTTTCAAAACCAAGAACTCAAAGAGTACTATTTAAAAAAAAAAAAAAGAAGTGTTAAATTATTCTTATTTCAGGCATCTAACCAAAACAACCACTGACTTTGAGACGAGGGAACCGGATGTGCACGCACTTATTTACCCGTTTTAGTACTCATTAATGCAGCACTCTATTCATACAAGCCATCACATTCCTTCCAAAATCATGAGTAGATCTTGAAATTCATCAAGTTTTGTTACTTTTTTAATGCCACTTAATACTGAAGTTTTTGGTTGTTCAGAATATGTATTTTAGACCATTTTTCAACTGTTGCATTAATAATATTGATAAAACATTAAAAGTACTTCACTATGTGGATGAGATGCCAAAGTGTTTTGAATGTACACATGGCCAACTGAAAAAATGGAAAAACCTGGCAAAAATGGCAATGCCACTATTGTACTTGCATTGCAGGTGTTTCTCAAATGGTGATTTTATCAACAGCTAAGAGAACATTTTCATGAACGTATACATCAAACCACTTCAGTGTCTCAACAATTTCAAATGAATTTGTCCTTCACAGTGCAACACTTGCAACACAAAATACCATGACTCCTTTCTTCCCCGGGCTTCTTGCTGTCTTTCAGAAGTTTTTGAAAAGAGAACATTTCCTTTTATTACAAGGCAAACAGTTGTTGGTGTCCTTTATAAGACAGCTCTTTGAAGAGAAAAAGAGAGAGAGAGAGAGCTATGCAGACATTTAACCTTTTTATATAGTCTCACAATTGGGGTTCTCAAGGCCTTTCATTTGTGAAGTTCATGTGGAAAAATCAGGGAGCTTGGACTCATCACATTTACCGTTACAGTATATTTATATTTCAGCTCCAATCAAAGCTAGCCAATATGCCATCCCTATGTATTTTCTCCTCTGAGCCTTGCCTCCCCACTATAATTTCCACCGACATTTTGTGTGCAAATGCAGTAATAGACACATTTATCACATCAAAAGGGATTCAATTTTCTTTTCAATCATCCACCGGTATGAATAGCACCACATCCTCTGCGGCCAACAATGAGGGGCCATTACCAAAGGATGGCTTCGCCTTCTCTATGCATTCAAGGGGAAAGTGTGTCAAACTGTTTGCTGACGCCAACGTTTGTTCTAGGGAAATGGAGACAGCTTTCAGACAGGTTAGTACCCAATTTTATTGTCAGACAAATGTCATTTTTGTTTGGGGCCGCGGTAATCATTGGGCTCAGACACCGGTGTTCTTCGACAGTAAAGCCTGCAGTTAGTCCATTTAATACTCTAACTCTCATGTCAGTAACAGATTGCCAAGTCCAGACATGACACCCGCTGTCTCCTCATTATGTGAAGAGGGTGACATGCAGGATTCAGGCCTCAGCCCTTGGGGGAGGGGGTTGGAGGGGCTGATTTCACGACACATTGTTGATTTACATGGGGAAAGAAAATACTTTGCGACTGCAATTAATTGTTTCTTTGCGCTGACAGGTCAGAGACGTGGACGGGATATTTTCTGTCAGATTTATTTG